GTGGACCTGATGGGACCGTTTCCTAGGAGTAAAAAGGGGCACGTCTATCTCACGGTCATTGTAGACTATTACTCAAAGTGGGTGGAGATGTTTCCTTTGAGAGACAGTAAGACGAAACAGATTGTTAAGATTTTGAGAGAAGAAATGTTCACAAGGTGGGGTGTCCCCAGGTATGTTGTCTCAGACCGAGGACCAGAGTTCACCACTGCCCTATTGACTGAAATGTGTAAAACATGGGGTGTGGTCCAGAAGCTGACAACCAGTTACCATCCACAAACGAATCTCACAGAACGCTTCAATCCAACGATCAAAACCATGATTGCATCATATGTGGGCCAGCATCACACTACATGGGACCAGTGGCTGCCAGAGTTCAGGTTTACCATAAATACTGCTCAACAGGAGACAACAGGGAAAACTCCAGCTGAACTGGCACTGGGGAGACAAGGTCCACTGGTGTCTCATCTACAAACCAAGTCCTGACCAGCAGCCGACCTATGACCTGGTAGAACGGCAGCACAGGCTGAATGAAGAGGTTAAAAGCAGAGTAGGAGTGCACCAAGCCAGACAAGCTAAGAACTAAGGAGGTGCATTTCAATCAAGGTGACTTAGTCTGGGTGCGTACTCATCCATTTTCAAAAGCTACAGTGAGCTATTCAACTAAGTTAGCATGTAAATGCTAAGGGCCAGCAACTATTGAAAGGAAGTTAGGGCCACTTAACTATGAAGTGAGTTGGACAGATTCCCCAGGTAAAAGGGACACTGTTAACATAATTAACCTAAAAAGGTATTATGTTTGACACCTGTAACCTGCAACATAAGATGATTAAGGGTAATTGTCTTTATTTGTAAAGTGTATTGAGGCCGCTCTCTTTTTGTTGTTTATTGGATCAGCTGATCGCTGTATAGTATATAGAAGTGCACGTGTGAGCGCGAGCACGCCGCCCCAACTCACCGCTGTGCCGCTGTCGCTTACTCGGGTCCTAAAGGGACAGAATTCGGATTATTACCTGAACTGAACCGATTTGGAGCACGTAAAAGGTGCTGAGGCTCAGACCGTCAGGGCCCAGCTCGACCCGATGAGATCCATGTACTTTGCCTTAGCGCGTTGATCGAGTTGTCCCGGTGTTCCGGTTCTTCGCGGGATCATGTCAAGAATTGATTTGTTTACACTGGTGTTTACATATTTGCGCCACCCTCAGGCCACATCAGGCACATGCACGTCAAAATGTTTGATCATTTGTATCTGACATACCGTTTCATTTGCAGATTCGACAAGAACAATTCCGACCCCAATCAAACTTGTCTAACATGACTGCGATTAATACATGGCTTCAGAATAAAGTTAATCAATGCTTGCAGTTGTGTATATGACTATAAGTTGCTTGGTGTCCTTTAATGACTACGATAAACAGGCTATAAAAATATAAGAGGACGTGGACCTCGAACTCACATCACCCGTGAAGAAAATAACAAGTGTCGGTTATTATCCTACTATCCTATTATTATCCTACGTTAACATATCGATCAGTTCAGCACCTGTATCTTTCATGTGCGTTACAGTCACATTGGAAGCATGTTAACTTGTGAAAGTCACGCTTAACATAGGACAAGTTAACGCTGTTTTGAAAAGCGCGACTCTCGTCACATCAGCGTCAGAAGCCGAGTGCTTCTATGTTCACTTTGCCATATGAACTTATTGCCACTTGATAGTTGACTTTCCACGATGTCATGTATGCGCACATTACGCTGCCTGTGGCGCTCGAGAAAGTAATAGCCCATGAGCGAATGACTATTGTAATGTCACAAGAAAACATGGCAATGACGTCTGAACAACAGTGACCACGACGTGTCGCTGTGTTTGACACTTTTGTGACTTTGCGTTCACTTAACATTATTATACATGATATCAGATCATTATAGCTGCTCTAATTACATAGTAATTACATAGTAACTATAGTAAAGGACGGACTAGCGCTTTTAAAAACAGCGCTAACTTGTCCGAGTAACTCACAAGTTAACATGCTTCCAATGTGACCGTAACGCTCATGACAGATATAGGTGCTGAACAAACTGTTTGATATGTTGTAGTATAGAGGTGTAGAAACAGAACTTGTTGTTTTCTTCACTAGTGATGTGAGTTCGAGGCCCACGCACCATCTTCCTCATATCGTTATAACCTGCCTATCACAGTCATTAAAGGACACCTTATAGTTGTATATACAATTGCAACCATTCATTTACTTTATTCTGGAGCCATGTATTAATCGCAGTCATGTTAGACAAGTTTGACTAGAGTCGGCATTGTTCTTGTCGAATCTGCAAATGAAACGGTATGTCAGATACAATTGATTAAACATCTTGGCGTACATATGGCTCATGTGGCCAGAGGGTGGCGCAAATATGTAAACACCAATGTAAACAAATCACATCTTAACGTGATTCCACGAAGAACCAGAACAGCGGTACGAGAGCGCGCGCCGCCGCTGCGGCCCTTTGGATAGGAAATTGAAAGGGCCGCAGCGGATTGAAAAGGATTGAAAAGTAAATGTACTATTATTATTGTCTGAGACCTGCTGAAAAAGGCTGAGAGTTTATTTTTTAACACATTTGTCATTTGAGCAAAAAAAAAAAAAAAACTGAATCAAAATCTGTATCAAACTTACTACATTTGAAGCTTTATTAGATCTCAAAATATGCGCAAAATACTTATACTTTTTGCTCTATAAGTACATTTTTAAACAGGTACTTTAATCCTTTTACTTCAGTAAATTTTTCATTGTGTACTTTTACTTGTACTTGAGTATTTTTCTGCTTCTGCATCTGTAGTTCTACTTAAAGGTGCACTGTGTAACGTTTCTGGTTGAGGGTCCTTTCCCTGCTTGTCTCCATGGAAATGTTACAACAACTACCACTAGTACCACAACCCTGACTACTACTACTACTACTATGACAACTACTATAAGTACTAATACTACTAATGTTCCACAGTATAGATTAAACCTATCTATCAGACAAGCAAGTTACAGCACTACGTTACATTACAGTTCAGATCTGTGGAGAGTCGCCCCTGTTCACAGAAGGAATAAATGCTAGATGGATATGTTTAATGTCATAGCATGGAACATTCTGGACAAAATAATAACATCTCCATGGAGACAATCAGGTAGCGGACCCTTCGCAAGAAACGTTAGTATCAAAACCGAGTGCTTTTTCCACCACTCCATATACGTCAATGCATGGAAAGTATATTAAAAAGTGTAATAAAATGTATGTGTCTTTAGTTTTTGTAAAAATGCCAGACTATTTAATAACTTGGCTTGAAACAGGATTACGCTGCAGTCTGTCTTTGGCTCAGACTTGTCTGGAACATGTTTGTGAATTCAAACTCGATACAACTGAATATTCAAAAGTATTCAAGCATCCAGTGTATTTGTTCAGATGCACACGGCGTTTCGTATACTCCCTGAGTGTTATGGGTATGTGGTAAAAATGAATAGGCCGACAGGACTTTTACTGCTCATATGTGTGTCCATTTATACAGGATCAGGTCTGAACTCTGGACTATAACACTACATTACCCATCATGCAATATGACTGAAGGAGAAGGAAGCCTAACTGTTGGAAAAACTACTACTAATACTATTAATACTACTACTACAACCAATACTACTACAACTACACCTACCACAACTACGACTGTTACTATCATTATCACTACTACTATGACATTTACTACATTTACTATAACTACTAATACAAGTAATAATATAACTACTAGGCTACTACTACTGCTATAATAACTACTATGACAACTACCACTATTATTACTAATACTACTACCATTACCACTACTACTACGACAATTACTATTACTACTAATACAACTAATACTAACTAACTAGGCTACTACTACTACTACTGCTACAATAACTACTATGACAACTACTACTATTATTACTACTACAACTACCACAACTACTACTACCATTACCACTACTACTACGACACTTACTATAACTACTATGACAACTACTACTACAACTACTATTACCATTACCACTACTACTGCAACTATTACTATAATTACTAATGCAACTAATAATATAACTACTAGGCTACTACTACTGCTACATTAACTACCATGACTACTACAACTACTACTGCCAATACTACTACTACTACTACGACTATGACTGCTACTTCTACCATTACTACTACTACTACTCTGACAAGTACTATAACTACTAATACAACTAATAATATAACTACTACTACTGCTACTATAACTACCATGACGAATACTACTACCAATACTACTACTGCGCCTACAACTACTACTACTACCATTACCACTACTACTACGACGATTACTATAAATACTAATACAACTAATAATATAACTACTAGGCCACTACTACTACTGCGACTGCTACTACTACCATTACCACTACCACGACAACTTCCCTTAATTAGTAATACAACTAATAATATAACTACTAGTCTATTACTACTGCTGCTACTATAACTAGTATGACTACTACTACAACTACAACAACTATGACTACTACTACCTTTACCACTAATACTACGACGACTACTCTAACTGCTAATACAACTAATAATATAACTATTAGGCTACTATTACTAATACTACTAATACAACTACAACTACTATGACTATTACTACCACGACTACTATAACTACTAAAAACATAACTACTAGGCTACTACTTTTACTGCTGCTACTACTACTACAGCTTGGCTTCTACTGTAAGATCGATTTTGACTTTCTTTCAAATGCTCTGTTCATCTCATCTCCTTTTTTTTTTTTTTTTTTTTTTTATCAGTATCTGTATCTGGTATCATCAGGTTTTATACACTTTAACTGTGTTGGAAAGTTTGCAATTCTAAATAAAAGCGCACAGATCCAAAACAAACTCTCTGGCGCCCTCTGGTGGCTGCGATCCCGAATACACTTTGACTTTCGCTTTCTGTTCTCCAAAACTGGAAAACAACCAAGTGTCCAAGTCCACAGTGCACGTCGGTATCTTAAGACTTATTTTAAGTGTTTAAATCGCCAGAACCTTAACTCCATGGGGGACGAAGAGGCGACGCGCGTCTGTGGCCGCTGGTAAGCACGTTTTTGAGGGGGGATCGGAGTTTCTGATCAGACGTAGAGCCACTGACAGGTAAAACAAACAAAACAAACAAATAAAAAAATAGTACAGGCCGTATTATGGTGAACCTCGCCCTAAGGTCTAAAGTCAGTGAACGTGTGGGCATGTGTGTCTTATGTGTGGATAAGCAGGGGTGAGGAGCACTTTTATAGAGAATGACTGTAACATTGAATTTATTATTTATGTAGCTGAAGCTCTGCTGTCTTTAACTCTACTCCGCACTCTCATTTTAAGTGGAACAAGCCCTACACAGAGGAAAGTTAAGTTTCAGTTTCAAATTCTGCTACTTGTTTTGGTGTCAATATAAGAATAGTTATTGCAGGTGTCCCTGAGGTGTCCCTGAGGTGTCCCTGAGGTGTATGAGACAGCAGACTGAGAATTTGTTGAGTTTTGACAATCCCCATGTCACTCTGAAGTAGATCTTACTAAACAGATACTAAACAAGATTCAGGGACCAAGCAGAGTTCATATAAAACACCTATACATATTTCTTAAATGTGTTTTTGGGTTACAGATTTCCAAGAATGAGGTTGTGAGAGTTTCCTTTTATCAGAAGCTGGACAAACAGAAATTTATTCCGAAAAAGTACAAGGGACCGTATACCAGCCCCCTCGGAACATGAACAGGATTTATTAAGAAAACGGGGAAAAGTGCATATTTAAGATTCACTGTGTAACATTCCTTGAGAAGGGTCCACCCGAAAAGTTGCACAATGCACCTTTAGACAAATATAAAGTTTATAGCTGTACAGATCAAAAATCTAAATGTACAATTAGACGAGACAGGTACAAAAGACAAAAACAGAGATTAGGTGCACAATACACATTTTCGCTTTCTGTTTGTCCTGGAATGTCCCACAGTGTGACATTAAACATATCTTCATGGAGACAAGCAGGCGGTGCTCCCAGGCCAAGTTCCACGTGTGATATCTGAAAATGCTCTCACAGTAAGAGTTTCAAGCTACTTGTAAATGAATACCTGTGAGAGATAATGTCATGCATACTCAGCACACACAGCAAGGAGAATCTATTTACACATTGATTATTTTAAAGAAAGAGATGAACAGTAGCTTCCTTTTCTCTCCTTTATAACATGCTTAATGTATAAGTAGTGAAGTATATTTATAGTTTATGTTTTGTTTAGCCAGGACCAACCTCCACCCCAAAAGCCATACACTCAACTTGACATGTGGAAATACACACAGGTGTCATACAGATTGTTTGTTTATTTAAAAAAAAAAAACAAAAAAAAACTCACTTTCAGTACAGACATAAAGGCACCAACCCAGTAAATATCAGTAATATCTGATGTTTTTTTTTTTTTTTTGTTTTTTTTAGATTAACATTTACACCATTCATAATCACCTACAGAACTTTAACCATTGGCTACAACACATCCTTAGTCCTAGACTAAGCCTGGACTAAACCAGGACTAAACCAGGACTAAACCAGGACTAAATCAGGAGTAAACCAGAACTGAACCAGGACTGAAACAGATCTAAACCAGGACTGAACCAGGACTAAACCAGAACTGAACCAGGTCTGATCCAGGACTGATCCAGGACTGATCCAGGACTGAGCCAGGACTGAGCCAGGACTGATCCAGGACTGAACCAGGACTAAACCAGGACTAAGCCAGGACTAAATCAGGAGTAAACCAGAACTGAACCAGAACTGAACCAGGACTGAGCCAGGACTAAACCAGGACTAAACCAGGACTAAATCAGGAGTAAAGCAGAACTGAACCAGGACTGAACCAGGACTAAACCAGAACTGAACCAGGACTGATCCAGGACTGAGCCAGGACTGATCCAGGACTGATCCAGGACTGAGCCAGGACTAAAACCAGGACTAAACCAGGACTAATCCAGGAGTAAACCAGGACTGAACCAGATCTAAACCAGAACTGAACCAGGACTGAGCCAGGACTAAACCAGGACTAAACCAGAACTAATCCAGGAGTAAACCAGGACTGAACCAGGTCTAAACCAGGTCTAAAACAGAACTAAAACAGAACTAAACTAAGACTAATCTTGGACTTGAGAATGAGAGAGAGAACCTAGAGTCTGTGGAGCAGGGTGTTCCCCAAAGGTCGATGGGGCAACGGCTGCACATAGCCCCGATATTCAGTCCTGGTTCACTTCTGTTTTAGTTCTGGTTTAGTCCTGGTTCAGTCCTGGTTCAGTCCTGGTTTAGTCCTGGTTTAGTCCTGTTCAGTCCTGGTTCAGTCCTGGTTTAGTCCTGGTTTAGTCCTGGCTTAGTCCTGGTTCATTCCTGGTTTAGTCCTGGTTTAGTCCTGGTTTAGTCCTGTTTCAGTCCTGGTCCCTCATGTCTCAGGTCACTATAGGACAGTACTGGAGACATCATAAGCTTATACAGGTTGTTTTCACCATTGTCAATAGCTCTGGTTTGATATTTAAGATGTAGTTATTTTATATTTGTTATTTTTTTTATATCTCACGTCAGGAGAAGTTGGTGGACGGCGCACCCCCGCACACCACATCCGCTACACTCCTGATCTTCACCTTAATTCATATGGTGTTGTGTTTTACGCTTAAACGCGTTACCCAGGATACTATCAAAGGCCCCTGCGGTCTTCATCTGTTGACCCCTGTTATCCCAGCTGAGAACCTGATTTGATCATCCTTTGAAACAATGACCACTGTTTTACCAACAGGGGGTTTATGGGGGCGCTTTGTTACTGAAATTCAATCAAATTTAATCTGCACACTTTCCCCATATCTTTGTGTATAAAATGCTTGCCAAACATTTGCTTAGGGTTCAACTTCCTTGAGACACCATGCTATTGGAAGCTGGCTTATAACATGGACACCACTACAGCAAACCAAATATGAATGTGGAAGTTTGATTGAAAATAATATTGATTTTACATTGATTATATTTGTGATCTTTTGTATTAAATTCATTTTTTTTTATTTATTTATTTTTTCCACATACTTACATACAAAAGCATAAGCATTCATACTAAACCTTTTGCCGAATCATTGAGCGTAATTGAAATCAAAGAGGCCAGAGATGCACCGATCCAGTACCAATATCGTTGTGGATACTTTGGTTTAAAGTATCTGCCGATCCCCGAAATCAACCGATACCAGAGATTGAAAATATTACAGCATACAGAACAGCTTTGTAAAAATATAAGTTTAATACTATGAGATGTTTTGGACTAACATTGTCCAGTAAATTGTCTCATTACATCAGCATCCCTAAAAGAAGCTCTATGCAGCTCTTTACATGTCACGTATATTATGTCTTTTACATATTCATAATAAACCTTGGTGTTTTATGTGTGTTGTAGTAAAAAGGAGGTGGCAGAGGCTAACTTTGCCCTGCACGAGTCTCACTGCAGCCGGTTCCTGGTCGTGTGTCCAGACTGTGAGGAGAATGTTCCACGGTCTGAGCTCCAGCAGCACAAGCAGGAGCAGCACGCACAGGTCAGACTCTTTACTAATGGGCTCGGGTCTGGTTTATTATTGGCATTTTTCAGTTTCTAAGATGGGATGATGTCCCAGATAGGGGCAAGAGACAGTACTGATTACACTGTACTTTGATAGTTAATATCTAAAAGGTATATATATGGTCATCTCAAGAATTTTTTTTTTTATGACAAAAAGTCTAGTCTTTATCTTGATCTGTTTCATCTGCTCCAGTCTGTATTAAAATATTGGCCTATAGAATGTAATTTAATGCAGTAATTAAAGCCCATGGAACACTTTTTAATCTCAATGAAATGAAACTGTCACAGGTGAGATGCACCAAATGCAAAAAGAAGATGGAACGGCGCCTCCTTCCTGAACATCAGGTAAAATAATAAGTATAAGTGTATAAAAGAAGAGAAGTTGTATTTATTTGGTATTATAGGTGCATTGTATTAAGTATTATCTGTTACATAAGGGTGAGTCGTTGTACAGTTGTAGGGAGTAGTATCTGTTACATAAGGGTGAGTTGTTCTACAGTTGTAGGGAGTATTATCTGTTACATAAGGGTGAGTTATTGTACAGTTGTAGGGAGTAGTATCTGTTACATAAGGGTGAGTTGTTGTACAGTTGTAGGGAGTATTATACGTTACATAAAGGAGAATCGTTGTACAGTTGTAGGGAGTATTAGCTGTTACATAAGGGTGAGTTGTTGTACAGTTGTGGGGAGTATTATAGTATGCATGTAGTCCTGTATGTATCTCTCTATAGTGTGGTCTGTAGAAGGTGAATAGTGACCTTTAACCTTCTTCTGTTTGTCCCCAGGAGGAGGAGTGCCCTGAGCGGGTGGAGCCTTGTACCTTCTGTGAGCTGGAGATGCCCTGGGCTCAGCTGCAGGAGCACACTGTGGCCTGCGGGAGTCGCACTGAGCTCTGTCCGGACTGCAAGCGCTACGTCAAACTGTCAGACAAAGAAGAGCACAACAGAGCGTGCTCAGATCAGGACCTGTACAATGGGCCCCACAGCCCACCCAAAGGAGCCCAGGGGCCAGCCAAAACTACTACAACTACTACAGCACGTAAGGAACTTTTTGAGGTTGTTAGGGTTGCGTCACCTGCTTGTTTCTATGGATATGCCATTGCATATCCACATTGTCTGGAATGTTCCACAGTATGACATTAAACAGCTCTACCTTACATTTATTAATTACAATTGGTTTTAAAGCTCAAAAATACCTAGAAAAACAAACATTCTGACTGTGAGCGAGGTCGCCTCTCCACAGATCTAACCTGTAACTTGGTCTGGTTTGGGCTCCATGAAGATAGAAATGCTTAATGCCATACTGTGAAAAATTAGAAAAAGCAAAATACATCTCCATGGGGAAAAGCATTTGACGGAGCCTCCACCAGAAAAGTTACACAATGCACTTTTAAAGCTCATCAAGAAATGACTCACCCATTCATTATAATGGGTGAAACCAGTGATTTTTGTTTCAATTCAATACAAAGTAATACTATGACAAGTATCACAATATCGATCATATACCAATACTTTGAGTTTTATATTAAATGCCGCTCCTGTTCCCTATAAAAAGTATGTGGATAAATAAAAATATATTTTTAAATTCTGATATATAACCCTAATCATGTGTAATGCTTCATATATTAAACCCAAAACTTCTTTCAGGTTTATTACAAACATGTGGACAGTCATGGTCACTCTAAAGGCCGTCACACACCACAAGAGAATTTGCCTGATTTTGGTTGCGATTTGCTTCTCCCAGAGTTCAGGGAGGTGTGACCAGAGTTTGTGTCTTCGTGTGTGATTTTGAAGCTGCTGTGCTCCTCGTGTGTGTGTGGTGTCAGTGTGACTCTGAGCTGCTCTGTCAGATCATAACCACCAAACATCAGCAACGCTACAGTAACAGCCAATAAAACAGAGCGTCACGGGCAGAGGAGCGACGGACACAGAGACGCAACATACAAACTCAGGAAACAGCGAAAATAATGAGAAGGCTTTATTACTTTCCTCTCCTAAAGTGGTAATTTAAAGTGCAACGTCGCATCTACATTTTCCAGAGAAATTGTCCTCCGCAAATAATAACATCCAGTCCACAAAACAGCACTAATAATCCAGTTTGAAGCGTTCTTTGAAAGTAAAAAGGCGAGAGTAGTTCCTCACTTGTGTCGACGGGAACCAGCAGACGCGATCGCACTCACAGCTTTATATCCTGTGGTCTGCAAACATTCCACTGCAGTCTTTGGGCTCACAGATTTTAAGTCTCATAAGATTCTCCTCGTGTCTGTGGTGTGCGCTTTTTGTCACACATTTATAAATCGTTTAAAGGTTGTATGGAGGATTTTTTTTGTTTCAAATTGTCAATGATAGCATTATAAAGGTGCAGTAGCCTTGTAATTATGATGACCAAAAAAAAGAGAATAAAAATTCATCAACTCTGGACGTGGTGGGGCCAGCTAAACATTTGCCAATTACATTGCCTTGTTATCTGTGAGCTGACAGGCTGTCAATCAAACTCCCTACGTTTCTAGCGTAACTGACTTGCCTGCGCACCACCGGTACGTGGTTTACGTACGCCTGTCACGCAGTCCACAGACGCACAGACGCTGTTTACTCCACCAACGCAACAGTTCTTAGAGGCTTTTTTTTACCTATATCTTCCTCGCAGTTAGCACAAAGTTTGTTGCAATGGCGACAAGAATCCAGGAGCAGTTAGCAACAAAAGAAAGTCCATTTTTGAGGTCGCTGAAAGAAGAAGACAAGGGGAAAAGCAGCGAAGCCAAACTAAGGTGATTCTTGAAGATTCATTCCAGCGATGGCGCGACTGAAGCAGACGCAGAGTCTAAAGACTGACGCACTGGTCGCCAAATTACTCCTGGACAGGTCACTTCTGCTTATTATGAAAACATACTTTATTTCCAAGAGCTAGACAAACGTTTTTCAGGACACGAAAGCGATATCCTATGTCTGAAAACGTAATTTTCAAGGCAAAGAAAGAGTCCGCTTGCTGCTGCGTGTTGTAGCTAGTTCATTCGCACAGAATCTCCGCGCAACCTTCTCTGCACCCCTTTCCTGCTCCTGTCCCCGCTGCCCGTTCCGCTCTTCCCCCTGCTCCTCACTTCTCCGGGCACGGAATCTCCGTGCACCGCTCCCCTCTCCTCTCCCCTCTCCTCTCTCCTCTCCTCTCTCCTCTCCTCTCTCCCTGCTCCGCTCTTCTCCCTGCTCCTCACTTCTTGTCCGCGCACGAAATGTCCGCGCACCCGCTCCCCCCGCTCCTCACTTCTCCACCTTGCCTAACCAACACTGTAGTTAGTTGTTTACAAGTCAAGTGCAGCGCACCGGCTGTAAACAAACCTGTTTCTGGCGTAAAGAGAAGGCGGGAGGAGGCGTTTCTACGTAGGAGCTGTAGGGGAGGGGGGGTGGTTTCACGCATGCGCAACATTTGAAAAAGGACAAACAGTCGCTGGATTTCTCGTTCCTTGGAAAATCCTCTATACAACCTTTAAGACCGAAAAATCCTGTAGTGTGTGGGGCCTTAAGGTGGGGATGTAGTTGTGCTGGTGCTATATATTTGTTTATTTAATATTTATTTATTTTTTAAGACAAATGCGCTATGTTTTATTGGATACTAATTCAGTTTTCTTTTGTATTTAAGCAAAACTAGACGTGCTGTGTAAAGTCTGCAAGCTGACTTTTCCTGCTGAAGAGATCAAAAGACATGAGGTAAGTCTGCCCTTGTTATTTTATTTATTTATTTTTCAGGAAGTACCTTGTCTAAAATCCATGGCATGAATGTGTGTTTGTTCTATTTATCTAGCAGGTACAATGGATTATTTTTTTTACTATAGTGATAAAAAATATTTGTCACTGTCATTTCCATCTTGAATATTTAATGATGAAATGACTTTGGGTTATGAATGTTGTGTATTTCAACAAAAATAGTAATAGTAATAGCAATTTCAATGGTGGTGGAACGTAACAAAGTAAAAGTAGTAAAGTACTGTACTTAAGTAAAACATGTAGGTATCTGCACTTTACTTAAGTAGATTTTACAGTGGGTACGTTTCACTTTTACTTCACTACATTTGAGAGCAGGTCTGTACTTTCTACACCACTAAATTTTTAACTGGAATGAAGTAAAAGTATTTTATTTATATTTATTATTAATTTGAGCAAATAAAAATATACAAATAAAAACAGCTAGAAAAAACAATTAGTTCAATAATTTCTGCTGAACAAAATTCAGCACAAATCTGTATCAAAAACACAATTTAAAGCTGTATTATTAGATCTCAAAATCTGTGCAAAATACTTTAACTTTTTAGTCCTTAAGTACATTTTAATACCTATACTTGAATACTTTTACTTGAGTAGATTTTTCGTGTGATACTTTTACTTGCTCTATATCAGTACTTTTACTTACGTAAGAATATCAGGTACTTCTTCCACTGGTTAATTTCAAGATCATCCAATGAAAAGTAATGAGTTTTCTCTTCTCTGTTCAAAGATGAGGTGCACTGCTGACTCCAAGCAGAGTTTTGAGGACTCCAGTTCCGATTCTGATTCCAATTCGGATAGAGATGCAGGCGCACATCGCAACCTTCAGCAGATGAACTTCCTGATGAGTAAAACAAGGAGAGGCCCTTCCTCCTGGAGATGTAAGTCTATCACAGTCATGACTATGACGTCTTATTGTACACTATGTGAAAGCTGGAACGACATTTTTGAGACATTTGCTTGTCGCTATGGAGATAGGTACGTCATGCCATACTCTAGAACATTGAAGGGCAATTATTTTTTTCCAGGGGGCCATATGAGAAACAGAAAATATTGTGGAGGGTTGAGCCAAAATGTTTAACTCAGTTCTGCATAATATTAATTGTATTTTGTTTTTAAAAGCAGTAAACCACTAAACGCATTAAGTCTTAGTTTAGACTTGGTTTAGACCTGGTTTACTTCTGGTTTAGTCCAGTTTTAGACTTGGATTAGTTCTGCTTTAGTACTGGTTTAGACCTAGTTTAGACCCGGTTTAGTTCTGGTTTAGACCCGGTTTACACCTGGATTAGTTCTGGTTTAGTTCTGGTTTAGACCTAGTTTAGACTCGGTTTAGTTCTGGTTTAGACCTAGTTTAGACTCGGTTTAGTTCTGGTTTAGATCCGGATTAGACCCAGTTTAGTTCTGGTTTAGTCCTGGTTTATATCTGGTTTAGTTCTGATTTAGTGAGGTTGCCTTACAAAAAATATAATTTTTAAAAAGTCCTCTAAAATAAAATAATAATAAAAGCAATGCATATTTAGTCCATGCATGAGGTAAAATTATAAAATGTGTTTATTTTGTAATTCCAAATGAGCTCAAAGGGGCCAGTCAGAGTCAACTAAAGGGATGTATGTGGCCCTGGAGCCTGACAATGCCCAGGTCTGGTCTAGAACATCCTGACAACACCACTGAGACAAGAAGGTGGTGCACCCTCCTCCAAAAACATCTATAACATTATTGTGTAAAATACTATAACTTTTCAGTTCTGTTCAAAAATGTAGTGGAGTAGAAAGTACAGCTACCTGCTTTCAAATGTAGTGCAGTAAAAGTAAAAAGTACCCATACAGATACCTAAATGTTTACAGTACTTTACTACTTTTTCATTTACGGTGATGCCAGCTCCCACTGGGCACCACAGTTTTCTAGCACGGAAGTCTGCGGACATATTTCTTTTACAGTGTTGTTATAAACATATATTATGATCTAAAATGTACAGTTTAATCCATAATAATCCACAAGTGTCATAGATTATAACTATATAGCAAATTTAAACACATAATTTCTTCTTTAATGTAATAGATGACGAAGAGGAGGTAGAAGAAGATCCCAATGAGCACTCCACCTGCCCACACTGTCAGCTGGTACTGCCCAGGGCCACTCTGCGCTGGCATATGGTATGTAATATCACATTTCCAATCACTTATAGTCATGATTTTTATTATTATTGTGTATTTTTGTGATTTCAGGACAAGTGTAAATTGCACTTACACCTCAAACTCAGAAAGGGCGATGTCTAAAATAAAATGTGTTTTTGTGTTTTCTGTACATTTTAGGAAGCCGTGTGATCAATAAGAATTTTATTTTCATTTGAAGTAATAATAGGATTTTCTGTGTAGCATGGGCGGATTGTACACAAGTCAAATGCTTTCATGTTACTATATGTTTGTTTGTATATTTTTGTCCAGTCACAGGGAGGACATAACTTTTTTAATGATACTAAATGACATAATTTTGATGCCCAAGATAATAAAAACGTTAATATCACAATTAGGGATGTAACAATAATCGAAATATCGTGATATCATATCGGCAAGTCTCTCAGTAATATCGTGGACCATCACAACATATCGAATCTCAAGCCTGTTTGCTTAAATTCATTGTTATGGTGCAGCAATAACTAAAAGAAACAGAGGGAACTACATAGACCATGATCCTTTGCTCTGTTACAGTCCAGTTTACACAATGAAATAGCTGTTATGAGGCTTGTCAAGGCATTTTTGAAGGAAAAACTAGTATATTCACAATTCGGTTATCGCAATAAATACTGTACTATGAAATGCATATCGTGAAAATATCGTACAGAGAAATTTGGATATTGTTACATCCTTATTCACAGTGTATACCGTACATACCATACAAACCATAGAACACGCCTTAGAAACAACAGATTGTAATTTTCAACGTAAAATATTTGTAGTTTCTTAAATACTAGTTCCAGGAAATGTCATTCTATTGGACATGTTTCTCTTCAGTTTAAATGCATTGTTGAAATTAATAGTTTTCGATACTCATTCTGGTATCGAGTTTTGGCTTTTTTTTTTTTTTTTTTTTTGACAGCCCTATAACTGTCTAGCATTATAATTAAAAATGATGATAGTTTAAAGGTGCATTGTGTAAATTTTCTGGTGACACCAAACCAGATCAAGTTACAGTTCAGATCTGTGGAGAGGCAACCCCGCTCACAGACAAAATACCAGTTTTTTTGAGCTATAAAACCACCTGTAATTGAATAAATGTAAGGTAGAGCTGCTTAATGTCATACTGTGGAACATTCCAAGCAGAGAAATGACATATCCATAGAAACAAGCAGAAAAGTTACACAATGCATCTTTAAAGGATAATTTATTTTGACATAAAGACTGTTTTTATGAACGAGCTGTATTACCAGGGGTTTGAAATTAAGATTTTTGCATCTGGTTCTCTGTTAATATATGGTGAAAGCAAGTGGAAATAAATCAACAAAAACACAACTCAGGACTGTTCAGAATGTATTTTATTGAAGTTGTGTATGGGATGGAAATTTGGTAATGGCTTAGATTAGGTTCACACACAGTAAACAACTTGGTCAAAATGTCCACAAAGAATAAAAGCTTCATGTTGTATTTTTGTATGAACAATACAGTTTACTAGTTAAATAAATTTCACCACATTTGAGCTGTTCATTTTGGATAAAAGTAACTCATTTGAATGGAACAATTTAAAAAGAGAAATGTAAATGTAATAATATGATTCATTACATTTCATTAAATATAAAATAAAATACAAATTTCACCATTAGAACATGTTTTATAAAGTTTGAATATGTCACTGTGTTGAATTGTTATTCTGACTATTTACATGCACTTGTATACGGTCAAAAGCCATGTTCATTATAAAGACGCACTACCTGCTTGTTTCCATGGCGATGTTATTGCTTTGGCCTGAATGATCAGTACAGTATAAAACATGTCTATTTGTACGGAGACCAGGCTAAGTTACAGGTCACATCTGTGGAGAGGCAACCCAAACCACAGGAGGAACACCTTTTTCCAAGGTATTTTGGAGAAAAATTGCTATTTAGATAAAGGCCGTGTTGTGTAAGGAAGGAAAAGCAGTATCATCTCCATGGAGACAAGCAGAAAATGTACATATTGCACCTTTAAAGGCACTTCTCAAAGCGAGTATTATTAAATGTATTAACTTAAAATGCCAGTGGTGTGAGCCTTGCTTCATTACAGCAAGAAATAAGGATAAGATTGCATTAAGAAAATAAAAAATATAGTCATGATAGCCACTTGTGTAGCTGTTGTGAGAGCAGTTTATAATGGACAAATGGTGCTCTGAAAAACAAGTGAAATACAGTGTTGAAATATCTTACATCGTTCAGGTTATAGATATCAAACAGTCAGACATACTTTTAAAATTAAATAAATGAGGTTGATCCAGCAACAAATTTAAAATATATTTGGAGATTTTGAGTAACTCGGGTTTTCAAAACAGGAACACTAAAAACATGACACATTAACACAGTGATAGTTTCAGTTGCTTGTAACCTTCTGCCTTTTTAACATTGCACTTTATTCTGCTGTTTAAGTCGCCAAATCAAATTCAGTCTGTTCTGAAAAGTGACGTAGTATTTGGTTTGTATGGAGTAATTGTGGACGTTTGACACCATAATTAAAGGTCCTATATTGCATAAAATTTACATCTCCAAAGCTCACAATGCTCTGCTCCACCTTGTGATGTCAAGAAGCAGTAGTTTTGAAGTTAACAGCTATTTTTTACCTTTAGTTCAGTGGCTATTTCAGTCTAAACATACGGGGTTTGTGTGTTAAACGTGTGAATGAATCAAAACACAACTCCAGGTCTGTTTGTGATGAGGAAACAACATTATAACATAGACCAAAAAATAAATCCTGCTCAATGATTCACTGATTTCACGGTAGCAGGTCACTCAGTATTTTTAAACACTTCATTTAAAGTCTTCATTTTTCAAATAATTGCAACTAAACACGACCTAAATACATTTTTGAGTAAGGTGAAGGGAAGTTAAATCATGGGTAAAATGTTATCCAAGTTAATTTTGCGTAATATGTGACAAATATAAGTAAACAAATATATTTCGACTGATGATGATGATGATTGACGTTTTCACAATTACTCCATACAAACTTATATTTTTATATTCAACTAATCTTCCCTTTGCCTATGGTCCTATCTGTTGCAGTTAAAACATTGCATAATATGTGTAATGTGCAGCTAGCCGCCCTAAAATACACACTACTCTTCTATTTCCAGCAATTTAGAAGCGACAGTAACTCAAGAGATAAATATATTTTAAAAGGGGTTCTCATTTTCATCAAATAGCTAATATTCAAATTTCTATACATACTGAGTAACATCTTTTACATTCAAAGCGATTCAGTCATGCCCTGTCCCATAATCACATGAGCTACAGTACGGGTCAATACTCAGTCAAAGCTCTGAATGAACTTCTTCAAATCTCTTCTTCAAATAATTTCCTATATTCTCCATTCTCTGCGTGTTTTGTCCGATCTTCTTGTCTTCTGGTCTGGTCCACAGTGAAAAAACAAACCTGATCACTTCCAGAACTCATCTGCCACTATTTGGTCGAGTCCGTTGAGTTTTTCAGGCATCAGTCCTTCCTCCAGAGCCACTTTAGACTCATGCACCTGCAACAAGACAATAAAAAAAAAACACCAAAGATTGAGAGTTTGCAGTGACATAATGCTGGGGGTGTTCTACATGTATCTCTACTGGAAGAATTGTCCAACAGCTACCATGGTGGCAACGCATACATGAGCAAAAACTGCCAAAAAGTTTAAACAATAGTCTGAAAACTCAAGAAAAAATAGATTTAAACAGCACATTTTCAAGAGTCTGATCAGTTTAAGCGTTCATGGTTCTTTTTAGGTGTTTGATTTTCAACAAAAAGGTGAGAGTGACTAACTGAAAAACTTTTTAAGAGCACAAATCAGACTAAGAACTCAGATTAAAGTCTAACTTGAATAACAGATCTTCTAATAGAGCAGTGCTTTCAGTTAGCATCACACCCCCAGAGAATGCTGATGACCTGAGCTGAAAAGTATCAACAGGATTATAACATGATAGTACTAGGATCTGAGTCAGGTTTGTTGCTGTGACTTGCTTTATTCTATTTTAGGCGGTGTTAATAATGGCTGTCTATTTATAACTTTGCTCTGTTCCATCATTTGACAGAACAAGAGTAAAATACCAAATTGTGTCTTGTTTTCTATCTCATCTTTCAACCCACAAAGTTATTATTTACAGTATTTATTTAAACTGATTTGGAAGAAATACTTTCATAACATACTTCAGTACTTTAACTTAAGTAACCATTTGACTGTGCAACTTTTACCTGTACTAGAGTAATATTTGACCAGCTGTTTCTGCACTTTTACCCAAGTAATGAAATGCAGTACTTGGAACACCTCTGCAAAATACTACGAGAATTTATCTTGCTGGCAAGTTAGTTTGTCATATATTTTCTTCAAATCAGAGCTGTTGTTTACAGTTTGTTTGTTTGTTAACAGTTATGGAATTACTTCTACTTAAGTCGTACCTGCTGCCTGTGCCCAACCAGAAAGTAAAGTGGTCAAACTAGAAAAACTAGACAAGAATTTTAAGCAAAACAATTAATAAAATATAATAATGTAATAATATTTTGAGTGAAATGAGCTTAATAGTTAGTAGTAGTAGTATCCTAGTAGTAGTATAGTATAGTAGTAGTAATATAATAGTAGTACAGCTGGGTATCATGAAGAAGTTGCCGATACGATACATACCTCGATCCATAGGCCACGACACAATGTCTTTCAATACAGTGCACTTTCAGTTCAATATGATTCAATACAGTATATTTCAAATCGATTCGGCTGTTATATTAAAGCCTACGAAGTCCACTAAGTTTGTGCACAGTTAATATGAAAAATGTCCATTTTACTCATCAAAACTGTGAAAATGTCAACACAACTGTAGCTCTTACACAAAATCATTTAGTAAAATATACCTAAAAATATTCTTGGCGATGGAAATTTCAATATTTTTGCACACCCCAGGATCCTAGTTACCTTGAATGGTTCACTGATGCCTATAATGCACTGTAATGTACTCGAGTAATAACACAGGACACAGTCTCCTCCTCGGACTGGGATCTCCTCTTTACTGATGAAAACCTGAAACACAAACATGGATCTTTATTATATTATTACCGGAGTGACTGTGTTTGTATGTTGTCTGATAAAAACATGGTTCATTACCTGCATGTGTTCATCATTGAAAACTGCTTCGTTGTCTTTGACCCAAGTGTAAGTGATGTAGTCTGACACACTGGTGAAGCCGACCTGAGCAGAAATACAGGTCGGAAATACATTATACAAACATAGAATTACATTGTATACAAAACTGCAAGTATTATTAGAGGTACAACGTCCAGTATTAGTTATTATATTGATTAATCTCATTCATTTGCATATTCAAATGTATTAAATGGTTGATTGCTAGTGGCTTTTGCCCTTTGAGAGAAGTACCACCTGAGATGTTTACTCTACTTTAAGAAAGATTAGTCTGAAACTGCATCTTGTCTCTGCAATTTCACATGGGCATGATTAACATTGAAATGCATGGCCCATTTGTGTAAAAAACAAACATGATGGCGGCTTACGAGTGAAATGAAAATAATAATTACAGAACTAAAAACAGCATACATTTCTGTGGAATTAGAAATAAAGAACTAAATGAAGTCTGAGGTAAAAAGCTGTATACTTTGTAGACTATGTAACTTTTTGGTGAGGGGTCCATCACCTGCTTGTTTCTATGGATATGTCATATGCCCGGAATGTTCCACAGTATGATTTTAATCAGCTCCTACCTTACATATATTCAGTTACTTGTGGTTTTATAGCTCAAAAATGCATAAAAACAGACATTCTGACTGTGAGCTGGATTGCCTCTCTCCAGATCTGACCTGTAACTTGGTCTAGTTTGGTCTCCATGAAGATAGAAAGGATTAATGCCATACTGTGAAACATTCCAGAAAAAGCAATAACATGAAGAAAAGAATTAGAAGAGGCTCCACCAGAAAAGTTCTCTAAAGCACCTTTGAGAGACATGCTCTATAAACTTAATGACTGTGATTCAATTATTGCAAAATTGGACAGTTACCGCTCTATGGTTCCAGGCCTTCCAATATTTAAACAGAAAGTCTGAGGAGCAGACAAAGAGAGGAGCTGGTCAGTGAACTCACCTTGTAGAGGCCGATCCAGTCCCAGGAGCTGGAGGGGAAGGGCTGCTGTGGGCTGTACAGGATGATAGAGTCTATGTCAGCGCTCCAATCTCCCACTGCCCGTAAACACACCAGCGGAGTGTCATGCATTTTCCTCATCTACAACAAAAAAAATACAGATTTTTTTTTTTCTGTTGTAAAACAGTGTACTAGTAAGTAGTTTAAATCTATATTAAATGACAAAAAGTAAAAAAAAAGTCAAGTCTGTGTCTTATTTTGGTTTATACCTAAAAATAAAACTAAAGACAGGTTTCTCCAAGTGCAACAGTTCAATTGAAGTATCAATGTTTTTAAATATTTTTAAAACTGGCCCAATGACTGTATTAAAAATACTAAATTTGACACAAGATAAGAAACCCTAAAATCATTTTTTTTTGTCTAATCTAAGCAAAATAAAAATACTTCAAAAACTACTGCGAATAAATACGTGAAAAGTAAAATTTACTATGCTCTTATATAAATGTGTTTTCTAACAGTCTGACAGCTCTCACCTCCAGACTGAAGAGGGCGATCACAGGTTTGTGGTCACTGATGCCGTACTCCATCTGACTGGTGTACAGCTCCTGTTTGATTTTCAGAGGATACTCGGTGAACTCCTCTATCTGCTTCACCAGAGCAGACGTCATCTTCACCCCGTTGTTACTGTCCTCGTCCACCGAGGGCAGAGCAGGTTCGGGACGCTGCCTCCACAGAATCCTGTCTGTCCAGGCGGGCTTCCTCTTCTTTCCACTGACAAGAACAGGTGTATGACAATTAAAGCAATATGTAAATCACCAATGAAAATAGTAGTCAAAACATTATATAATAACTATTTGACTTGAGAAAAAAAAACATTAAATCTGTTAAAACAACAGACAAAGGCATTCTGACAATATACGTAAAAAAAAAGCTGTAATACATGCATCTTTGCTGAACGAGGCACACACTGAAAGCATTATAATCCAGTTAAATTCTGCTTAAAGTACAGATACTAAAACCAATATTAAAATTAAAGCTATGTTAAAGCTAGCATATTAATGCAAACATTAAAACATCAACTCTACACTCAGACTGTGATGAAAGACACCACTTTCATCTCCAAACTGTATTTGAAGCACACACAGTTACTGATATTCCATTAAAGAAACAATCAAACATCCAATTGGAATATCAATACCATTTCTCTTTTGTTTAAGTCAGAGTTATATTTATCCTAACTTCACACACTTTGTTTTAAATGTTGTGAATCCATTTTGGTGGATGATACATGCTTCAAATACATGAGTGCAGGCAGTACTGTGCTGTATTACTTAACAATAGTATAATAAATACTATAAAAATATAAAATATAAATACTCCACTTGCACTATTAACAAGAGAAATGTACATGTGTTAGTTATCTTTGGTTAGTTTGACTAGTCTTTCTTACTTAAAGAAAAACCATGTCCAGTAGCTCCTGAAATCAGATAACACAATATGTCTTTTGATTTGAGAGGAAATGAGAAGAGTTCTTCTATATAAATATGAAGAGAATGTACCTGCTGTCATAAGTATCAGAGTTGAGGTCAAACTTATATGTTGGCTGAAAGTCCAGCGGCCCCTCCTCAAACTCCTGCAGAGACTCAACTTTCTTCTTCATCATCATCAACTGGAAACACAAAATCAAGTTCATTACAATCAGTGCGTTATTTAATTAGTATAGCCCTTAGACACAGTGGCATAAGAAACATTACATGTTTTATCTGTCAGTAGATATGGCCTGTAACTTAGCCTAGGAGTGCCATCTGCTAATCTCCATGGAGATATAGGTCTAATGGCATACTATGGAACATTCCAGGTAAAGCAGTAGCAAATCCAATGAGACAGTCTGGTGCAGAAGTTACACCTTCAAAAGTACCAGACTTGATGTTTGAACATGAATAGAAGAGGGAAAGTGAACATACAGGCAGAAGGATGCTGAGGTTAGAGATGCTAGGAAACAAATGATACTTTGCAGTTGATGTTATCAACATTCCCTGAGGAGTGTGAAGCTAACCAAAAGCACCGCTCTGTTGGTGACCTTTCAGGTGAGATGATTAGTGCACTAAAACAAACGTCTCACATTTACAATTACTGTCACAAGCTAGCTATCACTCTGTCACACACCTAAACAGGGCCATGAAAGCTCGTATTGGTCACAGGCTCTTGAAGATGTGTTGTTTAAATTCATTCTGTATTTTTTGTATGTATATTAAAACATTTTTGGCAGTTTTTGCTAATGTGTGCACTGTGTCACCATGGTGGTGAGCATTTCGCCAATAGAAATACATGCAATACACTCCAGCATGATGTCACTGCAAAGTATCAATGGATCAAGAGAAAAACCAAAACATGAAACAAAGATTTATGGATACAATGAAAGAGAGTATGAAAGACAGCAGAGGATGCAGAAGATAGGGTTGAATGGCTTTGAAAGCTTTAAAAAAAAATAAAAAATCAGTGTAAAAAAGAAAAGTAAATATTTTCTGACCTGATCATTGCTCCAGAGTAAGTTGTACTTGTGTGAATTGATGCAGGAGCGCACAAAGTGCATCCCATGGTCCTGAATGCGGAAGTTGAGGTCACCAAACCAAAAAACTAACCTACAACAAAACAGGAACAAATATTACACATATTTATAGTAAAAACACTGCTGCACTTTACTTCTCTTTTGTGGCATAAGTGTGTAGAGGGAGCTGGAACCACCAACCTGTGAGTCAGTGGATCTGAGTCCTGATCTGACTGCTCAAATTATGATATTTATGTCGCCAACCTTTGGATCAATGGACAAAAGATTCACCAACTGAGCTACTGTCGCCACAAAGAACTTCTCTGAACTCATTATAGATAGAAACGTACAACTTAATGTATTTAATTCTGCCATGTATATGCATAACATATACATGTTATATATAGTATAATGAATATATAATTTATGATGAATATTTATAATGAATATTATATTCAGTATAATGAATTTCCTTTGAAATAAATAAAGTATTTATCTGTCTTTGGTCTACGTGTAGTGCTTTTACCGGTGGTCGAGGACACTGGGGGCTTGTTTACATTCAAATGTCTGCGTGTCCATGATGTATTCAAACTCATTCACTCTGGCTGTGGCGTATTTCATGTGAGCCGACAAATGACAGTTAAGGAAACATAACATGTGACCATAGAACGAGAGGCGGACCGTCACAGCTCCTTTGTTACCCTGAAACAAAAATCACAACATATGTTGTTAATCTTCTTTCATAAATGCCACGGTGGCGTAGTAAAGATATCATGGGATATTACAAAAATGGTTAGTCCCAGAGCTTAAAAGGATTGTGATGTTGTGTTGCTGTGTCACTGTTAGTGATGAAATGTTGTTATTAGAGGTGTTCTAATGTAAATAGTCTCCTAATGTTTTTGTACCTGTTCAAGACGGCAGATGTAAAGGAGCCTGTAGCTAAATGTGACGCAGAGCATCTTTTCTCTCTGAGATTAAAGTTTTCTGTGCACTATCCTTGTTTTTAATAAATACATTTTTTTTTTTTTACAATTAAAAAGCAGTGAACAATATAGATCATAATAATTCGTTGCTCTATTTCAGTGCATCTAGAATAAATGACTATTATTATTTAAAGCTGAACATACTTAACTGAATAAAATATGATATATATGAGTAGTGATTGGATAAAACTGGCTTGTATAAATTCATTGTCATGCTTTCGTCAAGTTATAGAAAATATATATTTTTTAACTACCTACTTTTTTTTTTTTACAACATAAATAAACATATTTTTCCATACCCAATAACCAAACAGGCCTGTTCTTGTGTATGTGGTCCGGATGTCTCTGATGAACGGGACATGCTCCAGTTTGGAGAAGAACAGCAGTAAAAGCCCTTGCATTCGGATAGAGGAGATCTGAAACACAAGAAGGCAGTATAACACTTTTAAGTGAAGTAATACTAACAGGTAAAAAGCACTTTATAAACAGTTTTTAAAGTTTTGAAGCCTGTCTTGAAGCAGGATTTAAATTTGTTTTGACATGACAGGACAATCTGTGAGACAAAAAAAAAAATCTAAATAGAGTTGTACTTGTAATATTTTAACACACCCAGTCAAGTCAAATTGTATGAAAATTTTAAGTTACCAAATACTAAATCAGGACCAAAGCAAAGATAAACCAGGACTAGCTTAAGAAGTGAAGGAAAATTGCAGTATTGTACCAAGGACACCTCCAGCTCAGTCCTTGTTATCTGGCCTACACATTATAATACTCCCTACAATGGAAGCATAGTCTTGAATGGTCCTGAATGGACAATACCACAATGTGTTAGTGGTCCGTATTGACACTACATCTCTAGCTATTTCAATTATTCTACAACAAAAAGACTAAAACTGAACAGGAATATTTAACTTTTTTCACATTACTTGGAAAAGAAAGAACTGAATGGTGTTAAATAAAAATACAAATTGATTCTTGTGAGCTTTAAGCCACGTTATAATGTTGTTACCACCTCAAAAACATACCTGGAGTTTCATTCACATTTCACACATGTCTGAGTAACCCTTTATTATTAGTTTGTCTACATCTCCAAAGCTCAAAATGCTCTCTTCCACCTTCTGATGTCATGTAGAGGTAGATTTCCAGTTGACAGCCACCTTTCACCTTTTTTTTTTTAATAGAAATCAGTAATTCCAGGGCTGAAATTATCCAAATAATTCTAGTGAATGTGTATGCCAGTTTAAAAACACATTGGAGCACTTCCTGTATTACCACACGACATCAGAAGGTGGAAGGTGTTTTCTGTTTGAGGGAAGAACAGAGTCTAAATATGCAGGGCTTGTGTGAATGAAATAAAACGCAGCTCCATGTATGTTTGTGATGAGGAAACAACATTATAACACAAATCTAAAAATAGCGCAATATGTTCCCTTTAATACTTCTTTGACATATACTGTGCATGTTGTACCTTGACGTATTTGCGTGGGGCCAAAGTGGACATGAGGAGATGGCTCCATGGATCGTCAAACACAGAATCTGACACGAATCTGAGCGGCCCCGAGTACACCTCCTGCAGACTGACACAGCATGCATTATTCAACTGCTTCAACTGGATTCAATTACACAGCGCTAATTACATAACAGCGTCTCTGTGATAGGGTGGAGCTTTCAAGATGCCTGGTCTTTAACATACTACACTAACCACTCCCTTGAGGACAATGAGGTATATATAGATCTTAGCCAGAGAAAAGAAATGGTTTGAGAGGGGAGTTAAAGAGGCTATTTTTGTTAGGAAATACAATCCATCTTTGAATAGAAATGGAGGCCTCTGACATCAACTCTCTCCTATTTACAACTCCATGCTCAAATCGAAATCAAAACGAAGAAAACAATAGGGATAGCCTGTATTCTCAGGGATGTGAAAGCTCCCATCAGTGGCCTTAATGATTATACTAATATGCCATTTAATACACATAACTAACAAACAAACTGTAAACAAGTAGGTGTGTTAGTTTCAGAGTAGTTTCAGTGTAGTTGACTCCTCCCTGCAGACCGATATAAGGCAGCGCCCACCAGCGTCTGACCAGAGCTGAAAGAAGCTGATGCGAAATGTATTCAGGTTTTGCGTCAACGTCACAAAAGCACGAGACCTGTATGCCGCCATACTGGAGGTCAAAGTATCTCTCTGGACCAATGTGTAGTATTTAATGTGCGATAAAATAAGAAGGATGCGCTGTGTGGTTTTCACTTTCGGTGGCATGGAATATCGCCCACCCCGGTCCTCACTTTCAGCGACATGGAACCTCCCCCTCAATTTCCACCGCCTGGGGTAGCTACAGTTCTGATTTTGAACCCCATTGATCACTCAACAAAGATCTTATGTGTCCCACTACAAAATATTTATAAGCCTCTAACCCCTTGTAACTTTTCAGTTCTTGGTGGGTGTAAGACAATGTAGAATTAATTAAGTTGTTATAAATATTTGGATACTGAAGGTTGGGCATAGAGCAAGCGTCAGAAGTAGGGATCTATTCCACAACCCAGGATGATGACTTTAGCATTATATCTTTATTACATCTTTCTAATGACAGCAGTTCCGGACAGTTTTATGTTTTTTGCGCTCTTTAAAGTAGCCATGATCACATTGTTATAACTGAATGTTGACCAACCTTGGCCTCCAGTATGGCTGCCAAAACATTAAGTCACAACTGCCACGTCACACGCAAATCCTTAATTTGACAGTAATTTCCTATATCACATAGAGACTCAAGAAATGTTTTGGGGTTTTTTGTAAAATGGACATCTAGGTTTGCTTGTTTTGTCAGTTTTGGATTGTATATGGCCTAGGTATATATGTACTGTAAATATGACTTGAAAGGTGTTTATTAATTTTGTATTAATGAATTTGTATATGTTGTCAGTGAAGGTAATGAAAGATTTTAGTATTTGAAATGACTATTTATCCATCTTGTATTAATGAACTTACATAATAATAATGTTAATCTATCCCTTGAGTTTAAAGAGGAGGTATTATGAAAAATCTACCATGTTATAACGTTCCCTCATCAAAAACATGCCTGAAGAGGTTTTAGATGTCATCCCTGTGATCTCTCCCGGGCCTTATTCAAACTCTCCTTACAGTTAGCTGAAAGATTCTATGCAATGCTCACCCATACTCCCACACAACAATTCTCCGTAACAATACAAAAACATGATACAAAACTGTACACAACAACTGTACAAATCTGAAGTGATGTGCAGTAGTTTCATTAACGGATGGATTGTGTTGTGATAGTGCTCAAAAGAGGGAGTGACTTAGTGCAGAGTGAAGATAAGAGCATAAAAAACTAAAAGTGAAATTTATAAAGTTGTACCTTGTAATATTATAATGTTGTAATGCTGCTGAATATAGCATTTTCAAAACAACAGATCAGAAATATGTTATGTGTTTGCAGTTAATATACCCCATAGACGTAAAATAACCCCTTCTGAATACTTATTGGGTCCTGATGTAAAAAAAGGAGAGCATTATATGTGCATTATGAAACTTCTGTTGGAGAGTCCACCATCTGCTTGTTGCCAGTGAGGCATTATTGCTTTGCCCTGAAAGTTATCTAACATGGCATTAAACTTATCTGGTTTTCATTTGCATATTCTAGACAAAACTGTAAATGGTCTAAATGAAAACAATCTTACCAATATGAATATTAACCTATCGTTGTATCTCTAACAATATTATATCTTGTTATTAGTTTCACAATCTCTATAGATAACAACAACGTCTCTCTCAAAGATAAGAACAGTCTTAATCCTATTCAAACTTGTTATAAAATCACAGGGGTACAACAGGGCAACAAATTTTGTACCAACATGATACTTAGCACAAAGAGTCATATTTTTAAAAAGTGAGGGCTTTTTTGTGTTCAAACTAACTGCCGCTGGTGGGATTACTAAAGTCATCAGAATCTAAATCAGAATGGTCAGTTATTACCCAATGACGTAGAGGTCTGGACTCTTTGGGGAATTCAAATGAAGAAGTGAGGACACATCGTCAGGAGGGTCGGCTGTGGCCACATTCCACGTCACCATGTGCAGCCTGAAGCAACAACACAAAACGCATTCAAATTAGATTGGTGTTAGTGTAGTGGTAGATATTTTCAGGTCCACGTTATGTTATTTCTTATTCAAAAACACACCTGGAGTTGTGTTCTAGTCATTCAAGTTTAACACACAAACCCCGCATATTTAGGCTTTGTTCTTCTCTCAAACAGAAACACTCTGCTCCACCTTGTGATGTCATGTGATAAGACACGACGGGCCCTACTGTGTTTTTAAACTCCATACTACCTCACTTGTATCATTTGGATGATTGCGAGTCTCTACTGAAGAAAAGTAAAAGGTAGCGGTTAACTTGAAAACTACCACTACATGACATCACCAGGTGGAACAGAGCATTTGGAGCTTTGGACACACAGACTCAAACTTGTGATTTAAACATTTTAGCGTAATATAGGACCTTTAAGTGTGACTTCAGATACACTACAGGCACAGGATTAAGCAGAAAGACCATGTGAAAAGGACATACACATTTTACACTGATTGAATTGCTTAATTTTGGTCTGTGAGTTAAAACAATGCAACTTCTGAAATGAAACAACAGCATCTTTCATACAGAGCAATGAAGCCAATTACTAACTATTACTATACTAACCATCAAACACCCTCTGAGAAAACTGAAAATTAAGCAGTTAAAGAATGAATACACCACTGTTTGCAATACAATAAACAAACTAGAGCTATAAGCATCTGACCAACCCAGCAGTAAAAAAAAAAAAGCCAGTACCTAAATGTATCTTTGTATGTATGCAAAACAAAACTATGTCCAGCAAATCTGGCCAATCCAAAAGTCCTGCAAATCCTGACACCCATTCAAGTTCAAAATGTAATTACAGTATTACAATTCACTTACTCCATATGTATGTTTAAAAACAAATTAAAATTGCTTTCTGTATTAATTTACAGAACATAAACAATACAGATTTTTAATCTTTGCTATTTAACACAAAAAATATCAGATTTCTTCTTCTTCATACATGCTTTTACTGATAGAGGATTGGCTGTAGACCCCTACATTAAAAAGACCTACTGACAATTAGAAATGACTGAATCTTGACACAATAAAATTTCAATGATTTTCCCATCTCTAATTCAAATGCAAGTTGGTGAATAAATTGGTGAATTTACAAGTAATAGGCCCAATATATACAGTATAATACTAAAATGCAACAAGACACTGCTATACATTGGCAATACAACTTCCAAACAACAAATGATAGTGTTTCAAGGCTTAAAGGTGCATTGTGTAACTTTTTGGTTTGGAGTCCGTTATCTGCTTGTTTCTATGGACATGTAATTAGTCTGCCTGGAATGTTCTACAGTATGACATTAAACAGCTCTACCTTTAGTTATTAAATTACAGCTTGTTATATAGCTCAAAAATGCCTAGAAAAACAGGCATTCTGACTGTAAGCAAGGTCACATCTATACAGATCTGACATTATAACTTGGTCCGGTTTGGTCTTGGTCATGAAGATACAGTGAAACATTCCAGCCAAATAACATCTCCACGGAAAGAAAATAATTTGACAGACCCACCAGAAAAGTGACACAATGCACCTTTCAATTTTTACAACAACATTATATCATAACACCGGTTAGCTCTACCTGAAGTTGTCTTTTTTGGGTCTGTTTGCTCTTTTGCCACAAACCAAAAAAGCATTGTCCAGAGTCTTGGCCACTTTGAGCTCATCTTTGGGGTGGAGGTCTTCTACACAGGTGAGGAGCTGGTGCAGCCTATGTCTCAGCAACAGTCTGCTGGCTGTAGACTGAGTAGCATCACTGGCCATGCTCTCCGAACGGACACGCCCCACACTCCCAAACATGCGATTAATCTCATCCATTGTAAAAATTCTATCTTCTTTACAGTAGAGCAAAAATAACTGACAGTTTTGAAATAAAAATAATTTAAAAAAATAGGTGCAAGGAGGTGTCAGGTTGATGTTTTGCAGCGGTGTGAAGAACACATTCTGAGATTCTGGAGTAGGCATAGGATTTGTAATTAGCCAGCTCAGTGATTAGGGAATTGGTTAATTTGTCTGCAAGTTTTCTTTGTGCACTCAAAATCCCATAATCCTATTGTATTGTAAAATGTCTCAATGTCAAGAAAAAATCGAATTGGGAAATCGTGGGGCGCTAGGTCCACGCAAAAGAAAACCTCTCTATGGGCAAGTGGCACAATATTATTTGAATCCGGATTAGGATTTTTTGTTGAGAAATCTAATCCAGTGACCAGAATGGGGGGTAGTCTTTGGGTTTAATTCAATCACTGGGACAATTATGGATGTCACAATCATTATTCCTTCAGTTATGCCCCCAACATTATGTAAGGTAATATATGCACAGTGAAGTAGGAAATGTGCAAGTACAAGCCCTAGTAGTCAGACTTAATATCCTACTCTACGTATGTTATTGGCAAACAACCTCTTTCAATTTACTTTATATGATCAATGTTAAAGGGCCTATGTTACACAGTTTTCTGGTATATATTATAAAGTTGTTTCCCCATCAAAACCATACCTGGAGCTGTTTTTTGTTTCATTCACACACGTTTAACACACAAACCCTGCATATTTAGGCTGAGTTCTTCTCTCAAACTGAAACACTCTGTAATACAGCATTGAAATAGAGGATGTGCTCCACTTTAAACTCCATACACCTCTACTGAACTAAAGGTAAAATAAAAAGGAGCTGTTAACTTGAGAACAATGATTTCATCACATCACAAGGTGTAAAAGAGCATTTTGAGCTTTAGAGATGTAGACAGACTAATAATAAAGGATTACTCAAACATGTGTGAATGAAACAAAACACAATTCGGCCTTTGCATTTGAACCAATCACTAAGTTAAATAAAGGAAATAGTAAGACAACTAAATAAAAACTGCACTAAAGAAGTCAGCTGCTTCACTGTACTGTATTTGCCATACTTCTATACAAAGTGCCTTGCTAGTAACTCCATGGACCAGCAGCATGGAAATTGATTTATTGAGTAAGTCTTCTTTTGGAGAAAGTCAGTACAATATAGATTTTTCCTGCAAGTAACAAGCAGTAACTAACCTGTTTCTCGATTAGAAACAAGTTTAGAGAAGTGAAAGTAGTAGTACATAGTAATAGTAGCACAAGGAGAAAGTTGAGTCCTTGCAGCAAAAAAAAAAAAGAAATATCACCATTATTTGAATAAGCCTAACCTGAAAGTTTCTGTTTCATGGTTCCCCCTCTTTGGACTGTCATCTGACTGCTCCTCTGACTCCTCCATGGAACCTGGAAAATAAACAGGGAAGTACATTTGCATTAGTGTGTAGTACAATATAATTAGATTTGAATACAAGAAGAACTAGAGAGAACTGTAGAGCTTGGCACAAAATCTGGTGGTAGAAATGTCTAAGAAATAATAGGATATTTCCCAAAAGACAACTAAACAAAAGTGGAAGCTTTAAAGTATCATAGTCCAAGTACTCTACTGTAATAACTAAATATAATGATCAATTTATAGAACCCAGTTATTGTTCTGGATATTTTGAAGATTATCTCTGACAAAAATACAACCCCAAAGACAGCATTTAACTAACGGCACAAATCTGATTCTGGTGATAAGATGGTCTAATATTGTTAGATAACAGGGAACTTTACAGTGTTTAGCTACACTTCATCGCAGTCCTAAACTAAAACAGTATTTAAGGATATAAGGAACAGCATAGTGCTAGTTTTACCTTGTAACAGATGTGATCGTGAGTGCACAGGCCGTCGTGATCGTTTCCTTTGCCGTAAACAAATGTACAGTAAAAACACGAGCTGCAGCTGCGGAGGAGCGCCTCTCAGCGCCTAATGTTGTTTTTCCGGTGTCTCGCCCCTTCACCGGAACAAGCGGCATTTCAAAATAAAGGCACCGCGACTTCAAAATAAGTGTAACCCGCTCGATGTAAACAACAATTTTAAGTAGGATAACAGGGAAAATTTGAGAAGCATACACATTAGAACAATATATAGAAAACAGAAATAAAAATATATATATAAATATAATTTTATCGCCTAATAGACATATAATGTGGCCTATAAACGTTTTTTTTTACATTTTATATTATGAAAGGTAAATTTTTCAGCTAAATAACTGAATAAAGAGATCATCAGGTACAGCACAGGTTACTGCTCCTGAAAGGTTGCCCCAGCTACATTGAAGGAGTGGTTTTGCAGAGAGGAGAAATTGGGAATGTTCCAAAGTAAGGCATTAAACGTGTATATCTCCATGGAGATAAGCTTTTAAGCCACCAAATCAAGTTACAGATCACATAAGTGACCCTATTCACAATAAGAATGCATGTTTTTCAATCTATTCATTAGCAAGTAAAATGCCTGTAACAGAATTAATGCAAGATAGATTAGTTTAATGCATAGACTGTATATAGTCAATAGTTTAATGCAATTAAGTGGAACATTCCAGGCAAACCAATAACATCTGAGATCACAAAGTAGGTAGGTGCCCATTCATGAGAAAAATATAGCACTTTTAAATTAAATATTGCATAACTCTTGTGAGCTCTAAGACATGCTGTAACATGATTTCTTCGAAACATAACTGGAGTTCTATTTTGTTCACACATTCACACATCTTTGTGTGATCCTGCATTATTAGTCTGCTCACATCTCCAAACCTTAAAATACTATGTTCCACTTTGTCATGAAGCAGCAGTTTTCAAGTGAACAGTTTTAACATAGTTCAGTAGATTGGCAATTCCAGGGCTGAAGTTGGTCAAATGATTCTAGTGAAGGTGTTATGGAGTTTAAAAACACAGTGGAGCTCTTCTTGTATTAACACAGGGCATCACAAAGTGGAATAGAGTGTTTTCTGTTTGAGAAAAAAGCGTGAATGTGTGTGAATGAAACAAAACTCAGCTCCAGTTATGCTTCTGATGAGGAAAAATTCTAACATCACATACAGAAAATGGTGTAATATAAGATTTTAACCATCTACTTCTGTTTTTTTTTTTTTTTTTTTTAATCATTGTGTAATTGCAGGTGTCAAAGTGTAAAATCTTATGATCTCATTCATTATTTGGGTGTTATCACAAATCAAACACAACTCTTAAACTAAAAGCACTTAAAGTTTTATTTCCAAGGCAACAGATTGCTCTGGACTTTGTGTATAAGAACACTGAGTTTGGAAGGTGCCGTTCACAGGCTCAAACTCAACAAATGCATTTACAGAAACATATTTCAACAGAATTATCGTGAATATAGGGTAAAATCACCGAAATTTAATTAAATACTAACACAAAATACAAAGTTAGCATTTTTTAAACAATCACAACTCAACCTCACAAGACAAAACATCAAGCATACAAACTCTTCTAGAATTGCTGGTTGCCTTATAGAAAATGCCTTTATGTTTACAATGCATAACTTAGTCTTCATCCAGCTGTATTTAACTTCTTATTGAGATTGTTTTGTAAACCTGATACATCAATAAATTCAAGAAAACGACAATAGTAAAAGTATAATCATTTCAACAGTTAAAGGCCCTGTACGTGACTTTTTTTTTTCATATATTTGGACAAAACGTGTCAGTACAGATAAATTATACAAGCAGCTCTTGAGGTCAAAGTAAGTCCGCTTTGTGCTGTCTTCTACTCTAATCTAATTAGAAAGTGTTTTATAATCCGAGAATGAGGAAGTACACTGTTAGCATGCTAGTTATTATTAGCTTTACTGTGATGGCAAAAAACACCACTCTGGTCTCTAAATGTTGTGAAAAGAACTTATAATGATCGGAATGCATAAAGGTAATGTTTTTAAAAACTAGTACAGTGCCTTTAACAGTGAGACTCCCTGATCCCATCCTCCCTGACCAATACACTGATGTTGATGGTAAGAAGTTTGATCAATGTTAGTTACTAAGGTTGCATTTGTAGTGCAAAAATACATAATTACATTACAAATGCAGGGTTTATTTAGTGTCAGTAGCAATTGGTGCTGAAAGTGATGTGTATCGGTCTACTGGTCCAATGATGGTTGAGGGGAGAGTTGAGAGGACTTTGAGTCTGAAAAGTAAAAAAATATATATTAACACTATATTAATATTAACACTATAACACTAAATATGATTTGCAATTAAAAGGTCATTATGCAAAATTTCTTATTGTGAGCTTTAAGACATGTTATAATGGTGTTGCCTCATCAAAAAAAGACCTGGAGTTGTGTTTTGTTTCATTCACAGATGTCGAGTAACCCTCTATCACTAATCTGCCTATATCTCCAAAGCTCAAAATGCTCTATTCCAACTTGTGATGTCATGAAGTGGTAGTTTTCAAGTTAACAGCTACCATTTACCTTTTGTTTGAAATTCCAAGGCTGAAATGATTCAAATGATTCTAGTGAAGGTGTAGGGAGTTCCTGAATTACTTCATGACATCTCAAGGTGGAACAAAGTGTTTTATGTTTGAGAGAAGAACTCAGCCTAAATATACAGGGTTTGTGTGTCAAAGATGTGTGAATGAAACCAAACTATTCTAGATACGTTTAATGAGGAAACAACATTAAAACAGATCAGAAGGTAGAGTAATATGGGACCTTTATACAGTCTGTTCAAATGTACAAGTAATATTTACTCACTGGAGTTATTTGTCAGCTTTTGTGCCTTGGACAGCTCCCTTTTTCCTCAGCTGTAAAGATAAAGTTGGTTAAAATGAGGAAAAGAGTAGCATTACATCACATTATAATTACTGTGCTAAAAACGGGGAAAGTGTTATATTTTAATCTTCAAAGATGGACCATGTAACTTTTCTGGTTGACGGTCTGCCACCTGATGAAATTACTATTACAAAAATATGCAAATAAGTACATAAAAATATATGTGGGGACACGTTATTAGGCCTGTCACAATAACAAATTTGGAAGTGTGATTTATTAATTATAAGATTTAAGAAAATATATGATAAACGAGCCTTTAACTTACATTATTGACAAGATTATATTTTTGCCTCACTAGAGTTACATTATTGGCCTCTTATTAAATTATGGGTTTATTACATTTACACTTGGCCAAAATGATTCCGTTATTGGCTCTTACTACTGTTATTGATTGCTACTGGAATGAACACTATTGAAGTTAAGACATTGTCACTGATGAGCAGAAGTTGGGGTTAAACTCACCTCATCGAGCTCGGCCTTGGTCTTTTCTTCCATCTCTCGGATGTCAGCCATGGTCATGCCGTGCCAGTCGTCCAGGGTGCAGAAGAGCTTTCTGTGGAAGGTTGTGAACAACCTCTTTTCCATCTGAAACCACAAGATTCAGATATAAACAGGTCTTTGAAAAACACACCATGACACAACTGTGTATTCACTTTTCGGGCTATTGTATCAAAATCACAATTTCAATGGACATAATGTGAAAAAGCCGCAGATATTGAAGACCTATCATTTCCTCCACAAACAACAACATGTCTGGTCTTATTCTGCATGAAACTGCAAGCCCTGTAGTTCTGAAATGTGATTCTTGTATTAATTTATCAGTCCATGTGTCATGGCAACTGTTGTGCCGTGTTTCTATTAATTATTGTTCTCTTTTGAGGTGACCCAGATGCACTAGAGCTCAGCGCATCCAGCTGCCTATCAAAAAGGACCCTACACCCATGGCTGCTCTTCTGGCTCGACTCCACCGAACCGCACCATCAGCCAATTACCACAATGCACATATTTGTTGTAACTCATTAATAAATGCTCCAGCAGAGAGCTAAAACCTCTGCCGTCATCATGTCCACCACCTTTCTCTGTTGCGGTCATAAAACCGAGCCGTAACACCACGTTTCAGTCTTTTTGTCAATTCATAAAATTTTATAATATGAACTTTGAACAGAATCAAATTATTAAAACACAAATCAGAAATCTAATTTCAGTGTTAGTCAGAAAAAACGCAATTCAGTGTTGTTTTTCCAACTCATACAGCCCTTTTTACTTTACATACTATGTCAGGTACCACTTTCTAATGACTACATTTTAAGTAGCTTTACTAAAGCAAGAACAAAGAATTAATTGGTGAAGAACCAATGATTTATTAAGAATGATTCAGGCTTAGTAAAGAGATAAATAAAGGGTTACAGTTAAGAGTTAGTGTTGGGACATTACTTAAGTAGTAAGCCCGAGTCATCTGATAAATGTTAAATGTTACATCTCAAATTGCTCTAATCACTTGGGTTTGTGCCTGTCTCCCTCTAGTGGTAATGTTGTGAAGTGGTCTATGTGAGCATGAATAAAAGTTAAAATTGATTTCAATTTGGGGCCATTAAGACAAACTTAAAAGTGAAATCAAAGAGACATTCATTGAGATGTTACATTTTGAAGTAAATGAACTCACCTTCTGAATAGTGCTCTCTACTTTGCCTTGAATAGGAAACATCCTGAACTCAGCCTTGACCAGTTTGTAGGCACACATGTGGGGCGTGTTTGTGTCAGACTCCAGAGCTTTCTGCCAGCCAGCCGACAGAGGTCCTCGCCCAGTTTTTACTGACTTAAACTTTGTTGGATCCTCGTCTTCTTTGTAGTCCTGCTCGAAAAATAACAATACATTTTTGTTTCACTCCTTTATAACTTCAAATTTTAAATTAAGCTTGTATTACCTTTGGGTCGTCTAAATTAGCAGCAATGTCAATATCAACCACTTTACGGTCTTTCAATTGGGCTTCGGTTAAACCGTGAACCTGTAAAGAGAAACAAAAAGTTCAAGTTCAAATAATTCATAAGCTTGGGTCTATCACAAAACACATTTTAAAGTAAACTGTAAGCAAATGTACAGGATGACAAAAAAGCCTTTTCAAAGTGAACCAAATTGTAAATATTACACGAGCTGCAATAGATGAAAAGCCCAACTATAATTATTCAATTCCATCCCCAAAAATACTGAAAACCTTCTTGAGCAATGGTCATGACAGGCCTACAGTGTGTTAAATATGTGCACAGTATTACCATATTGGCTCCATTTCTTCCCATAATATTAGTAACACACAAAGAATTGTATAATTTTTCTTTGTACAGCCTGTACACAGCTGCTCTACTCTACTGTATTATATTGTATTAGTGTATTTTCTATAGTTGTATTAATACTGTACAAGTTTAAAATTCTGTGACTCACATTTTCTATGGTGCCCATGTCCGGTTTGTGCCACGTGATGATCTCAATTGAGAAGCGATCGCCCACATACTCACTCTGCAAAGAAAAAATTAAGTACATTTTTAAGTAGATTTGGACAATATAAAACGTGATGTTAACACATAGACATGTTTTATTTAATCACAAGTGTTTATTTACGGTCTGAAATCTTAAGTACTGTTACACAAAGGATCTGGCAACAGATAGTAAAGGGCTCGTTCAGCTTTCAAATTGGCTTGAGAACCTAAACACTAAATAAAAACACAGCAGCTTGGCCAGTCAAAATTTTTGTAATCAAGAATTGCAATTGTGATCAGAATTTGCCATAGTTTACACACGTCAAGTGTATTTGCATAGTGCTTTTCACAGCACAAGTGACAAATTGCTTCATTGAAAATTCAGGTTCTTACTGATAGGACTGTGTGGGAGACCCGAGGAGCACAGGGAGGGAGTCACATGAAAAGAAATGGGGAATAATAGTTAAGCATACAGTACATGTGAATGAAGATATATAGGTTTTGACAGTTTTGTACCTGTTTTACAATAGGGATACGCGTTCCAGGCCTTTTCGTGGATCTCTAAAGAACCTTTGGGTGCCAGTGCTCTGATCCAACCAGGGACTTTACTGAGAACCGAAGAAAATACAAAAATACAACTGAGTTCATAAGCATTAAAAAATAATAATGGCATCTTTGTATTTAGGTTACACATTAAAGGGGACATAAATGTGCTTCTTTCAAACTTCTTTGTGGACAATGTGTTCTTTTTATCACTTGGCGCTCATTTTTCCAAGAATGCTTTGAAAACTATCTGACACCCTCTGCTGTTTTAATGTTAATGCTTTTTCTGGAATGTCCCACAGTATGGCATTAAATTTATCAATCTCCACAAAGACAATCCGTGGAGAGGCGACCCCCTCTCACAGTAGGAATGCCTGTTTTTCTACTTATTTTGGAGCTATAAAACCACCTGTAAGTGAATAAATGTAAAGTAGAGCTGTTGAATGTTTAATGTTTTTTCCTCTCCAACAAAACACCTCTAATTAAATATATGCAGGGTACATAAGTTTAATGCCATACAACCGGAACAGTGGAGATGAGAATAAATAAAGGTCCTATATTACACAAAATGTTGTTACCTCATCAAAAACACATCTGGAGTTGTGTTTTGTTTTATGCACACATGTAGACACACTAATAAACTGATTACATCTCCAAAGCTCAAAATGCTCTGCTCCATCCATCGTGTGATGTCAGAAAGTTGTAGTTTTCATGTTAGCGGCTACCTTTCTCCTTTTATTAACACAGTGGAGCACTTCCTGTATTAGCGCATGACATCACAAGGTGGAACAAAGTGTTTTCTGTTTGAGAAAGGAACTCAGCCTAAATATGCAGAGTTAAACATGTGCAAACAAAACAAAACACAACTCCAGGTGTGTTTGTGATGAGGAAGCAACATTACAACATTGATCAGAAAATAGCACAATATGAGCACTTCAAACAACGTTGTCTCTGCGACTGAAATAACCAATAGTGTCTTATTTTTATTTACATGTAAGCATTAACACTATTTATAAGATTTATGAATGAATGCGTGTGCGTGTGTGTGTGTGTGCGGAGTTACCTCTGTAGGTGGTAGATCTTGTGGGTGTACTGTCCCTCCTCATCTCCGTTCTTGTAGGGCTCATTCACCAGGACCTCCACTCCCTCCCCTCCTCCTGTCTCTCCTTTACTGGCCTCCGCTACGGCGTACAGCTGCCCAATTTGGTACTGAAAACACAGGAAAATCATTTGAAGTTTTATATATGTATACTAGCACAATTCAGAAAAGTGCAAAACAGAAAATATTTCTTAAATTGATACTTTGCAGCCACTAATGTTTTAAGATGATACAAAAACTCAAAAATACTAAATGGATTTCAGCAACTCTATGATCAATACAAGCTTTCATGGTTTTCAACAAAAAAGTGAGAGTGACTAAGAGACTTAAGAGCAGAAATCATTTCACTGTTGTAGTTCCAACAATGCTTTTTATGGTCCGATTGTGTTAAACTAAAGCTCAGATTAAAGTCGAACTTCTGACAGAACAGTGTCTCTAGTTAGCTTGGGAATGTTGATGACATCAGCTGCAAAGTACAAGTAACGAATTTGTAAATATACACTGCTTGTGGCATTTGGAGGAGACTTACTTACTACTGCTACTGCTGATTGTGCAAGTAAAATCTGTTGGAAGTTCTAATCCAATACTTTTATTACAGGACACAATTTCAGCATGTTTGGCCAAGGGCTGCAATTAATCACATTTGAAGCATATTTGAATCAAGATTGAGATTCAGTCACTTCTAATCTTCAATGATAAACTGGGGTCTTTGCTGGAGGAAAGAAGTTTGACTATTTGTTAGGGATGGTACAAGATCTCGTGCCACAAGATGTCACGAGACAAAATTGTCAAACAGACAAAAAGATCGTGCACAAAAGAAAAGAATAATCTTGTGAGTTTTTTTCCATGTGTTACATTTAAACTGGATCAGATTGAAAAAAGGGTAATGTGTTGGCGAGTTACATCTCTTACATCTCCAAAAAGCAGAACTACAATAGAAAGAAAACTATGAAATGAAATAACAAAATTGTGAAACCAAACTGAAACTGGAAACTGAACCGTAATACGTATACATTAGGAATTATGTTCAAATCTCGTCTTGTTTTGTTCTTGCGGACCCAATCTCGTATCTCATCCCTACTATTTGTGTTTTAAATGACAATGGTGAAAGTCTGTATTGTTTCATTTCAGGAAATTAATACTGAAAGCCATTTTATTTGTTTTTCATGAGACAAAAAGTAAATAGTAAATCCGAATTGAGCAACATAGGGAAAATTCTCTTGTCATACCACCTGCCATAAATTCAACTGAATCAATGGTATACGTACTAAAATATTCAAGAAACTCCACGCAGCAACTCACAGAACAAATAGGTCGATATTTAGTGCCACAGTTTGTCTGAGTCAGCTGTTCTGGGCTGGTCCTCTTTTCCTCTGACACCGGAAAAAGTGACTCAAAACCACACACACACACAAAAATACTATTGCCAAAGCTGTGCAATGAAACAAGACAGACTGCAGAGGAAGCTCAAGAGTTTTAATTAGATAAATACTCTGGTCTGTGGTCTGTATTACACTGGTGGGAGGCTGTAAGATGGTGGTAGTGCATTCATCATAATTAAAGGTATTGTGCTGTCGGTTGGAACACAACTCCCAATCTGTTGTAATAATATATTTGGTAGGCACAATGGTTATGTCAGAATACAAAGGATAAGTAAATACTAGCATTAAAAGGGCCTAGATTATGCCATTTCCTGATCTTTGTTATAATGTTGAATTGTGCTTTGTTTTATTCAGACATGTTTAACACACAAATCCTACATGTTAAGGCTGTGTTTTTTTTCCTCAAATAGAAAAGTAAGCAAGTAAGATTTATTTATATAGTTCTTTTCACAGACATATGTCACAAAGACTCTTGAAAGAGCATTATTCATTTACTCCAGTGATGGTAAACTTCTTTTATAGCCGCAGCTGCCCTGGGGAAGACTGACGGAAGCGCAGCTGCCAATCTGCGCCATCGGTCCCTCTGACCACCACTAACACTGACGCACGCACACACCACTTTCATACTAAAAACACTCTTCCACCGTGTGATGTCATGTCAAGAAGTTCTCCACTGTGTTTTTAAACTCCATACACCTTCACTAGAATCACATGAATAATTTCAAATTTTGGAATTGCCAATCTCTACTGAACTAAAGTGAAAATGTAGCTGTTAACTTGAAAACTACAGCTTCATGACATCACAAGGGGGAACAGAGCATTTTGATCTTTGGAGATATAATATTTAAAGTAAAGTATTACCACATGACATCACATGACATCACAAGGTAGAATAGAGCATTTTGAGCTTTGGAGATATAATATATAAAGTAAAGTATTACCGCATGACACCACATGACATCACAAGGTAGAACAGAGCATTTTCTCTCTGAGAGAAGAACTCAGCATTTGTGTGTTAAACATGTGTGAAAGAAACAAAACACAACTCCAGTAGAGGTGTGCAAAAGTACTGAAATATTGATATATCATATAATTTAATGTGATGATACAGTATCGATATTGTGGGCTGCTTAATCGATATATCCCCAAGAGTATTTTCTTTTGTTTATTTTACTAAATCATTTTGTTACTGCGCTACAGTTTTGTTGCTTGTTCAGAGGAAGGAAACTCATTTCACACTGCAAAAAGTAACACTTAGGTTAGTTAAAATATCTTTAAGAACATGTGAGTCGATTCTACCAATGGAATAAGTGTTTTTCTTAATTCAAGCAACATTTGATTTCATTTCTTATTTTAAGTGTACAGAGTTATTTTTCTTATTTTAAGTGTAGCAAATTGTATTTTCAAATTTTAAGTACAAAAAGTGTTATTCTGAAGTGAAATTTACTCAAATCATAATAAAACTTTCTTAATTCATGTCATCTTAATTTGATAAGATTTTATTTTTTGCGGTGCATGCGACACATTTGACATTTTGACTGTTTTGATGATAAAAATGTTTGTGTTTCATATTGACTTTGCATAAGAGGTGATTTAGACTTTTAGTACCACAGCCATGATTTAGCCTTTATTTTTATTAAACTGTATTGAATTGATTTGAAATATATCGTATCGAATCGAAAGCTCAGTGTATCGCATCATGGCCTGGGTATCGAGCTATGTATCGTATTGGCAACTTCTTAATGATACTCAGCCCTAAACTCCAGGTATCTTTGTGATGAAGAAACAACATTAAAACATATAACAGAAAATAGTATAGACTAATGAAGAAACCAGATAACTGAAGTATAAACTGAAGAGAACAGCACATCTATGACCTACTCTAGTTCTGGTGGAGGTTCAGTTTTGTGACAGTGAGTTTGAACCAGGAATGTGGCTCTCCAGGTTGGACCAGTGTGTTGCAGTCGGTCGAGGTAATGCGGATTTAAACAGGCCTCAAGGAACAAGCCAACCCTAAAATGGCCACTGATTATGGACGGGGAAACATGCCGAGGCAGAGCACTCCCAAACCGAGATGATGTTTGACAAAGAGGCAAGGTGTGGTACGAATATGGAACATCTAAAAATATATGATTCAAGCTAAAGATAACTGAAAGAAGTCTGAACAGGTCTAAATCAACACAGAGACTACTAAGGAATAAAATACACAACTGATCAAAAGTTTTAGAGCACCACACATTTTCCTTTTTTTTTTTAACTGTTTACTATTGAGCAAAACATATTCTAAACTTTTGATTCATGAAAGTGTCCACCTGTGGCAGATATAACAGCTGAACACACTCGTGGCTCGTTCGTTCTACAATAGAAATCAAATGTTCAGAAAGTTCTTCCCAAGTCTATTGGAGAAATTCCATAAATGTGTGGCACTCATAGATCGCTTCACTCTTCTGTCTAGTTCATCCCAAACCAGTTCGATGGGGATAACATGGCAACAAACAATATTTAGATAAGTTAAAGAGACTTAAATTAAGAACATTTTACTTTATTTGAATAGATACAACTTGACAAGTAAAATTATCTGCCAATGGAATAAGTGTGTTTTTCTTATTTGATTTTGTTTCTTATTTTAAGTGCAAAGAGTTGTTTTTTTTTCTTATCTCAAGTGTCACAATGTGTACTTTCATATTTTAACAACAAAAAGTCATCATTTTACTTGTCAAGTGAAATGTATACAAATCATGATAAAACTTTCTTTGTTCAAGTCATCTTAACTTGGCTAGAATTTAGTTTTTACAGTGTTAATTAAATCTGGAGACTGTGCTGGACACTCCATGTTTTCAAGCTCACTATCTTGTTGTTTTTTCCTGAGGTAGTTTTGGCAGAGCCTGGACTTGTGCTTTGTTTTTGTTTTTTTTTATCTTTTTTTTAACCTCTGTCTGTTCAGTTCTTACCTTTGTAACATTTCAAGCTCTTCATTGGGCTTGCACAACTTTAACTGCAATAAATAACTGGAACAATTAGGGTGTTCTAAAACTTTTGACCAGTAGTGTAGGTCTAAACTAAAATCAATTATGACTAAGGTTGTCTTACTAAATCAATACTAAAACCTGTATTGAAACAAAAAAGAATAAGTGAATGAAAATGAACTCTTTCTGAACAGCTTTAGAATGATCTTGAGCTGCATTTGAACAGATAGAAGAGCAAATAGACTAGTACACGCCCATGGACCACTATATACAGAAAAAAGGACACATTTAACACACAAACCCTGCCCATTTAAGCTGAGTTCTTCTCTCAAACAGAAAACACTTCGCTCCACAGAAAGGTCTCACTGTATTTTTTAAAAAGTCCATACTCCTCCTTTCACCAGAATCATTTGGACAATTTCAGCCAGTCTCGTTAGGTTTTCATCTAAAGTTTCTCCGCCTGGCAAATCTAGAATGACACTGCTGCATTTTTTATACAGATTAACATCAGTCTGGTCCCCTCTTCCTCTGTCGCGTCTCAAGTCTGAACAAACATGATTGTGTAGTCTGATTTGTTTTGTTTTTGTTTGGTGACACATGTGAAACAAAGGAGCTCACTGCTCATCTATTATTTACACATAAAATCGCATTTCTCTCACCTCGATTCGTTCAGTTTGAGTTTAGTGTTTCACTCTTTGATCCTGCAGAAATCAGTCACGTTTTTCAGTCAACTGTCATATTTTTTTCCTTATTTTATCCTCATAAGCAGACATATTTGCTTTGATACAGAGCATGCATGTCCCTGATAGGTTAATCCACCTGTCAATCACGCCAATTTGAACTCTGGGAAATTCACCGGTGACCAGACTCACATCTTCATATAGTACTGAAGGAGTGAGTAGGCCTGTCACTATAATCATTTTGAAACACGATACATAGCTACAGAGAAATACTGTGATAAACAATAATACTGAAACTACTTTATGCCGCTGACAAAAAGCAGAATAATCTCAGTAAACCAATTTTAAATTAAAAAGCCTGAGCAGCAACAAATAAATAGCAGAGCGAAGCAATAAGAAGGCTACAGAAGTCATTTATTCTACTCTCTACAGCTCAAATCTGACCTTATTACAAAAAAATGGCAAAAATCTCCTCACTATTGAAAACAAATAGTATATACACAATAAATACTGAGCCCCATAATATATTGTTCAGGCTTTCATGTGTGGAATGATAAATCGATATAGTAATTATCATGATCGGCTTAAGTGTGTCTTCTGAATCCCAGACAAAATCCTATGACTTTCCTCCCAAATAAAGTGTACTGAACTTAGTTGACGTCTGAGAGGATCATAAGGAAAGCCGGTCACACAGCCAAAGCTTTAGAGGGGTTTAGTGGAGCAATGGTCCGGACAAAGGGGCCACTGTAGAGATGTGGGTCCAACCCGAGCTGGAGAAATTAATCAGGAAGTAAAGCATGTTGTGAAGCGGGGAGTGAAATCAGGGCAAAGGTGAGGGGGCTGGAGTGACCTGCTCAAGAGCGCAAAGGCAGATAAGAGTCCAGAGCCGGAGCAAGGGTATTTGAAGGAGGTTTAAAGGCAGCGAATGTGGAAATATATGATTTGAGCAGCACCTAAAAGCCAAGAAAACCTGAAAAAAGTTTACAGAGGACTAAAACAACAAAGAGAGGTCAACGCAGGAATAAAATAGGTCTAAATATTAGGGGTGTAACAGTACATGTATTCGGTGCAGGGTTGTGCACCAGTGAGTTCATGCAATTTGTGTGTGTTTACATTCCACCACTACACGTGCAGCTACACAGAAGGCTCGGCTCTTTAATATTCAGATGGAACCCGTCCGTGATTGGGGGGCAGTGTTTCCCGCAGTGCTTTATAGTTAGGATGGCCGCATCAACAACAATTTCCCCCCACCTTGACTACGTCCATCCGAACCGTGAATCCTCGCAAAACTACAGTCATAGCGCCCCGGTCCTTTTGCCAGCACAGAATCTCCAGCAGTTCTGCACTTACTGCAGACAATGTGGACAAGTTTTTTTCTGGCCAAAAACATGAAGACTGAGTAAAACTTCATGCTGGAACTGTTAGTGCTGCGCTTTACTTTTCAAAACGTTTTGTTTACTGTTTACAAGGAATTTATTTTTTAATTATATTTCATACATTTGTTGCTTATTTGAGAATATTTTATTTAACTTATTAGTATTACCAAGCAGCGCTTATTTTCATGTTTGTATAATGTTAAAACTAATTGTTGGATTAATAAAAACACAAATAAACAACAAGCAAACGGTTTTGCATTTTGTTCCCATACTGTACCGAAAATGAACCGAACCGTGACCTCAAAACCGAGGTATGTACCGAACCACGATTTTTGTGTACTGTTACACCCCTTCTAAATAGGTCAACTGGGATTAGGCTTGTCACACTAAGAGTAAAAACTAAAACTAGTTTAGAATAGGACTAAAATGTATCTTTCCTGAATAGCTTTAGAATGATCCTGAGATGTGTCAGAACAAGTATAAGAGCACATAGACTAGTGTACACCCATGATACACCATGGAAACTACCTGGATCATTGGGGGATTACACAGATGTAAGACCACATGGGAACAGAATGGAAAGTACCACTATTTAATGATGAAAAGGACATTCTATTGTCTAAATAAATAGTATTTTTACTATCATCATCCTATGAAAATCAGTATCAAGTCTATTTCTTAGTATCAAGAGTTTGACATTTTAGTATTGTGACAACACTAAATGGAACTAAACCAGAACTAGCCCAAACACGCTGTAGTTAGGGCTGGACGGTCCAGCCTGGACCTCATATTAAAAATGTTATTAAAACAACAAAACACCACATATCTGTACTCTTTAAGTTCAGAAATTTGGTACTGAAATACATTTTATGAGTCCAATCAATACTAGGAAAATACATGTGTGATATTTGCGTCATGCCTCCAGCCCGAACTTAAACCCAAGTTATTTCTCTCATTTCCTTTATGTGGGGATAACATTCACAGGAGATGGTCCAGCATTGTAAGCAGCACAATGCACTATAGTCTTATCTTCAAACTAGCCTCCTGTTATTTTAGCCCATAGGAAAAGCATCGGGGTTTTCTCAGGTCTTCCTCCCACTGAGAACCGACCGGGAACACGCTTTAGGTTAGGTGAATTTAGAAATTAAAGTCTGAGCAAAATGTGGTCTTATTTCCTATGAACTAGAACTGTCCAATCAGCTACAGCCTTACAGTAATTCTCCATGTTAAAATGCGCATGTGGTTAATGGTCCTATATTATGTAAAACTGACGTCATGTTATAATGCGGTTAAAAGAACAAAAACATTCCTTGAATTTGTGTTTTGTTTCGTTCACGGGTGTTTAAGTAACCCTGGATTATGAGGCTTGTAACGTCATGTAGTGGCAGTTTTCAAGTTAACAGCTGCCTTTTACCTTTTGCTCAGCAGAGATCGGCAATTCCAGGGCTGAAATCATCCAAATGATTCTAGTAAAGGTGTGTGGAGTTTAAAAACACAGCGGAGGTGGACCAGCGTGTCTTCTGTCTGAGAGAAGAACTCTAAAGAACTAAATATATTAACTAATTACGCAGATTTTGTGCATTAAATGAGTGAGTGAATGAAACAAAACACAACTCCATGTATGTTTGTGATAAAGAAACATTGTTATAACATAGATCAGAAAAATCTTGAGTGTGGATTTTTGGATTCTTCAGATGAAAAAAAGTGAAATGAATGAAATGAAATAATTTTGTGAGCGCTTACCTCTTCCACTGAAATGGGCAGAATGATCCGGCTGAAAAAAAAAAAGATAAAACAATTAGTGTAAAACGGAAACACAGCAGCTGACCTCAGGTAAAGGAAGTAAGTGCAACAGCTATAAAGGCGCATGTTCCTCAGAATATTAAAGATACAAAGGTTATTACTCTGTGAAAGATTAAAAGACTGATATTATGCTAGTTTCTGAGCTGTTATCATGTTGTTTCCTCGTCACTAACATGCCTGAACTTGTGTTTTGTTTCATTCACACATGTTAAACACACAAATCCTGCATGTTTAGGCTGAGTTCTTCTCTCAAACAGGAAACACTCTGTTCCACCTTGTGATGGAACTGCCAATCTCTACTGAACAAAAGGTCAAACGTAGGGGTTAACTTGAAAGCCATTACTTCGTGACATCACAAGGTGGAACAGAGCATTTTGCGCTTTGGAGATGTAGACAAACTAATACTAATGGGTTACGCGAACATGTGTGAATGAAACAAAACACAACTCCAGGTCTGTTTTTGAGGAGTTAACAACATTATAACAAGGCTTAAAACTCACAAGAGGCGATTTTGTGTAATATAGGAACTTAAAATAAGATCTAAAAGTCACTAAGAATATTTTTAGTACTTAATGAACAGATTTTTGGATTCTCTAAACTCTGTATTTGAGATATTGGTCACTTGGTTCACTTCCTTTAAGTCTCTTTACCACTTCTGTTTAATAAAATTAAATAGCAGTGAACATCATCTTTAACTTTACTCTCCTTGACAGTTTAAACACAAGTAAAGTGCACTAAGCAACTTTTACCTGCCCGTCTCCATGGAGATGTAAATGCTTTGCCTGAAATGTGTGTAGCATTGAACTTGTGTTTACTTAATTATAGATGTTTTCACTGCTAGAAAATATATTTAAACATGCATTTTTACTCTGACCAAGGTTGTCTCTCCACAGATCTGGCCTGTAATTTAGCTTGGTTATCTTAATGCCAAAGTTTAATGCTGTACTGTGGGACATTCAAGGCAAAACAAGAACATCTCCATGAACTGCATTCATTTTTGCGCTGTACTTAAGGTTTTAAAGATGCAGTGTAACTTGCCTGGTGGAGGGTTCGTCATCTGCTTGTCTCCATGGACATGTGCATAGAATGTTTCACAGTGTTGCCATAAAATAAAAGAATCTCTATGGATACTTGCAAGCCAAAATACAAATTAGATTTGTGGAGAGGTTATCCCACTTACAGTAATAATGGAAGTTTAAGGTATTTTAGAGCTATAAATAACACCTGTAATTGAATAAATTTAGCCAAAGCATTAACATCTCCATGGAGACAAACTGTTAAGGGATCCTCTCCAGAAAAGTCACACAGTGCACATTTGTAAGTGTGTAGACAATAGAGTTGAATAAAATCTAATCTAATTGAGAAGCAGATGGCAGACCCTCCATCAGCAAAAGTTACATACTGTACTTAAATGTGGACAAAATGAATCATTATACATAGATTTAGTGGCAACTGGCCCAAATATTTAGTTAAAACTGACTCTTGTGATCTTTAAGCCATATTATAATGTTACACCCTCATTCACACATGTTTGAGTAACCTTTATCAGTCTGTCTCTTAAGCTCAAAATGCTCTGTTCCACCTTGTGATGTCATGAAGCAGTAGTTTTCAAGTTAACAGTTTATTTTTTAGCTTTTGTTTAGTTTATTTAGATTCTATTGAAGGTGTATGGAGTTTAAAACCACAGTGGAGCAGGTCCTGTATTAACAAATGACATCTCAAGGTGGAGTGTTTTCAGTTTGAGAGAAGAGCTTAGCCTAAATATGCAGGGTTTGTGTGTGAAACATGTGTGAACAAAACAAAACACAACTCCAGGTATGTTTAATGAGGAAACAACATTATATAACATAGATCAGAAAATGGTGTAATATGGGCCCTTTAAGTGACAAATTTCGAAATGACTAGTTGCATTTTCATTGGTTGATTCAGAGGAAAAACCCCTGTGGTCAAAGCGGCGTTGAAGCAGCCATAACATAAAGAATAATTCATTGCATCAACACAAGGTGGCAGTGGCAAGAGTAGACAGCAGACAGGATCAACAAAAAAAACTTGAAAACCTTTATGTGGATCTTTTAGCTGTACATTTAAAATAACTTAACTGTATCTGAAAAGCCTACTCGCTGGGCACAACTGAACACACATTTTGAAACCTCTAAGTATAAACCATATCTACAGTAAGTGGCTTCAGGTTACAGCGGTACTTCTAAACAATACAATATCATGACCGCTATGACTTCAGTGTTTGCCAACAAATATTTACCACCTCTATTCTATAAATTACAACCACAATAAGAAAAAAATGATTACGTAGTTAGAAAATGTGAAATAGTAGACGTATCCACGATGTTCAACCTACATTTAAAATATTATATTACAGTAACAATGGATTTGGGGAAGCCCTGAGTATGGCTTGAATAACGAAGTTTATTTAAGTCATACCATGTGCGTGCGTGTGTGTGTGGGTAGTCTGTGGACAGTATTAAACGTGTGTGTGCTGTGTGTGTGTCTTTTGTGTGACATTTTACAATAGCCAATTAATCGCCACCTGTCGCGTAGTGTAGCCAGTCCTAAATATTTCATTAGAACAGAGTGGAAGAGGAGACTGCCAGGCAACAACTTCTATATAGACCGAGCTTATCCGACTACGCTGGCTTAATGGGGGCTTAAAATGGTAGCTGCAGTTAACCTATAGAAAGCAGAGGATAAAATCTAAACTTGATTAAAATAAGTATGTTAAGTGAATTATGGTCTTCACAGCAGAACCAATGGGATAAGCCTGACTGTGCACTTTGGCCCCTGGTCATGTGACACTGATGCTGGGGAGCAGTGATGTTCATATGACAGCAAACGAGTAAAAAAATGAACTTTTATGGGCAAATTTTTAACTAATACTTTTTTCCCCCAAAATTTTACAAGCAATATTCTCTAAACTTATAACATGCACTGGAACTACCCGTATTTACGTGTGAATGAAATCTATATAACCTAATTTGTTTAGTTTGAAGCAAAGTTTACCTAGGATGGCCTGATTTCCATTTTAGTCCCCATGAGAGATTCTATTGCCCTTAACAACGTTTAGGATTATTAAGATTATAGCTAAGACAATATTTTACATACATTGTTCTAATGTATGTATGTGAAATCGATTTTTGTGTGTGTTTTGTATTAGAGGATATCAAATGACTGCTGCTAAAAATGTAACCTACTTCAAAGATTGCTTTACGGTTTCCTTATCTCTGAGTATACATATAATTAATGCTTACCAAATCCATTCAAAACGTGTAGGCTATGATGTAAACAAAAGCCTAAAGTCGATCCACGCTAAATTATATTAAAACTCGTGTGTGTTTTACCCTTGATGAAACCAAGCTAGTCTCAAGGGAAGTTCTTGGAGACCTTTTCCTGTACGCTACATGTTGTGGTCTGAAGTCTTTCCATTCAAACTCTACCGTTATAACGTCATTTTTCAGATTTGACGGTACTTACTACTCGTGGATTAGCATGTCGGCTGTGGATTCGTCCCAAAAAGCAGCATAAAAAGTGGGGAAAACTCCGCGAAAGTGGGTGCAAAGCAGGCCGTTGCGCGCTCGCCGCCTCACACCGCTCCTTTGAGGCTTTTCTTCCTGAAAGATGCGGAGGGGCGTGGCTTAGGGAGGAAAGGGGCGGGGGGTCTCACCTTACGTTACAGGTAGCGTCAGGTGGCGTTCAAATGCGCGTGTTCTTTTCTTCTTGACAAGCGTGATTTCCGTTTAGAATTCTAACAAATAGTTTCTGGGGAGGATAAATAAATAGCGTACTCTTCATTTGGAGTCACGGCACCTCCCTGCTGTCTGACTGATCACTCGACTATTCACATATTTTGACCGTTTTTTATGAAGTTATTCTTTTGAGTGTCATTCAAAGCCAGGAAGTTTAGAGACACATTTTTCCTGTAAAGTAAATTACAGCCTGTAACCTAGGGGCCTGGAAAACATTACAACAAGACTTTTTTTTTTTTTTTTTCTAACTTAAATGTGTGTAAAATCCCCGTCCTCTAGGTAGAATCCATGGCAAAACGAGAAATTCAATTTGTCAACTGGACAAACGTTTTCATATTAGACCAAAATAAACTTTTATTCAGTTGATAAATTGAATTTCTCCTTTTGCCACACACAGGTTAAAACAGAGTTAGACCTAGCTTAAAGTGTAGCCTAGACAAAAAATTGTCAAGGACTTAAAAATGTATGAATGAATGTCTGTTATCTGAATTGCTATTCATATTAGAATCTCAGAATTGTCCTTAAAAGATAAAATATAGGTTATAAGGTTGGCTGAACTGCTGAACTCTGCAGATGCACCAAAGCTGACATTAAATGGGCACACCTAGGGCTAGGTGCTAGGTTGGTTTTGGAGTCACAGATTAAAATTAAAATAATATTTAGTGCCCATCCTTAAAAAAAAAAGAAAAAAAAACACTTTCTTTTACTTTCTTTCTTTCTTTTTTCTTTTCTTTTTTTTCTTTTTTTGTTTTATTTTCTTTAGAATATATGGTTTTAAATGTGCACGATCACATTTCTAGTGGAGGCTTCTCGTCTGCTTGTTTCCTTAGTGACACCAGAAGGCCAAGTTACAGGGCAGATCTGTGGAGAGGTCAGCCCAGCACACCTTTGATCTTAGGAATTGCATAATGCTTTATAGTATCTGCATTAGCATGTCATTTATTAGTACACGTGTCATTCATTAGGAAGAACAGCTTTATTACTTTGTGTTTCTAGATTATCACTATAGGCCGACTTAAACTTATGTTAGTCCCTGTGTCAAAGTGTTATAAGCAGAACAGAATTATAGTCTTGTTGTCTTGGTGGAGGGTGGGGTTGAGGTGGGGCTGAACCTGGTCCTTCTGGTCCAGAGAAACCTCCAGCTCTGGTTTGACTTGTTTATAAGACGACGTTAAAACAACTCAAAGCAAACCGTGCAGTTACCACACATTACAAAGCCGATCATGTACTCAAGTTCGTCTGACTCACTTTGCTGTTCATGTTTCACCTGTTTTTAAAGTGTGCAGACTCTGTTTGTTGCATGGAGATGTTAATAGTATACCAGAATATAACAGTATAACTTATCCTTTTTTATTCATTCAGGTAGGTATCTTGTTTTGTCTAATTATTGTTTTGTCTAATTTACATTTAAAGGTCCTATACAAATATTACGCAAAGTTGACTTTTGTAAGAGTTTGTTTCATTCATGGTTGTGTATTGTTTGTTTGTTTGTCTTCATCTCCAAAGGCCAGAATGCTCACATGCTCAACCTTGTGACGTCATGAAGCATTAGTTTTCAAGTTATCTGCTCCTTTTACCTTTTGTTCAGTAGAGACTGGCTATATAGAGGCTGTTCTTAATTTATTTTTGGAATTACCCATTAATCACTAATAGACTTCTAATAACATTACTTAAAGCCTAATGATTTGACACACTCACCTGCTTATAAAATTACATATGTTTCTTTAATGATGATCCAGTGGTTTCTGGGACAACTCAAAAGCTCATGATTCACTAAACGGTAAAAATAAAACTGGTTCGACTGGCTGCTATCCTTAGTCCCTATAAAAGTCCACAACTCGCAGCTTCACAACTCACAAAACAGCTCACCCTAAACCTCCGTTTTTACAACTGTTCATTCAGATCTGTGTGAAATACTGACCCCTGCTGTTAGGATATTGCAATTGCGTGTTTGTTTCTAATGTAGTGGCCTATTCCTCTCAGCTGTGAGTCCACTGAGTGTTGAGGGAAGGGATTTTATGACTCAGACTGTGGTGTTATGACATCAAAATCACAGAGGAAACTTGTAGCCTACATTTAGTGTCTTGGATGAAAAACATAATTGCTTAGTTGCAGCTCTAATCCAACCTGCAACCAGTGTCTCTACATTGCATTGGCCTGTAGTGAACTTTAAGTTTTAGTAATAACAAAGTATGTGTTGTAAAGTACTGTTCTTAAGTAGAATTTTTAGGTTAGGTATCTGTAGTTTTTTTTAAGTGGGTACTTTTTATTTTTACTTCACTAAATCTGAGAGCAGGTATCTTATCTGTACTTTCTACTCCACTACATTTTCGAATAGGACTGAGTAGTAAAGTGAAGTAAAGTGCTTTTCATATGATTTGGTGGGTTATTTTTTACCATGTTTGTGGTAACACCTGTGTAAAGGTTTTCAGCAAACAAAAATAAACACACAAAATGCATAAGACAATTCAGAAATTGATTGGTATTGCAAGTGTTCACCAAAATCTGTATCATGTTATCAGTATCATTTATCAAAATCTGTGTGAAATCTATCGGGTACACTTACTTAAAGGTGCACTGTGTAACTTATGTGGTAGGGAGACAGCAACAAGATTGTTTCCATGGAGATATCATTGCTTTGCCTGAAAGGTTTCACTCACTTACTTTGCATTTATTCAATATGAGTATTTTACTGATCAAAAATACTACTTAAAAACATGCATTCCTATGGTGAATGAGCTTGCCTCTCTACAGATCTGACCTGTAACTTGGACTTGAGGCATTGTGGGAAATAGATAAGTTTAATACCATTATACACTGTAGAACATTTCCATGAAAACAAGGTGGCAGACCCTCTACCAGAAAGTTACACAGTGCACCTTTAAGTTGATTTTTTTTTTTCATGCAATACTTTTAATTGAATACATTTTTGCCTCTATATCTGTACTTTTACTTAAGTAGCATCCACCACTGGTAAAAGCAGTGAGCTACATAACAAAGTTCAAAAAGTATTATAAATAACAACTGGAAAAACTAGAAAAATAGATTAAAATAAACACAAAAGAAGCTCAATTGTACAAATAATCAACTTTATTTTCAAATATTGATCTTTTTTTCAACAAATCAACTTAACAATGGCAATATGGTGATACAAGACAATACAAAAACACAATAAGAACATGAACACATACTTAAAATAACAGTTTAAAATAGCGACAGTGATGAAGTGTAACACAAAAAGAAGTCCATGCCTCAAATCAGAAACACCCACAATGCAACAGTTTTATTTACCTTTTAAAAACCTTTCTATCAACCAATCACTCAAGAAAAGTCTGCTTGAATAGTTACCAAAGCTGCTGATCGGGATATGCGAGCGGATTAAGGTACAACAGTGAGAGAAAGTGCTGGTTTAATTCTTAATAGGAAATCGTTCATTCAGAGCGGCTGGAGCGACACGAAACAACGGTCTGATAATGTAAGGTTCTGTTTGTGGAAGGGAGATATTGTCCAGCCATGAGTTTCAGAATGATGGAAAATGAGGACCGTTGGCAGATTTAAACAAAATATTAGCCTATAGATCTTTGAATGATGGAAAGTCCTCAAAATGTCAGCAGTAAAAGAAGCTAAAACCCGTAAAGTTTGACGGTTTGGATGCAGTAATTAAGTTTCTAATATAGTACGTATCAGATTAGGTAGGATGCACTCTTGATATTGCATACTTGTACTTGTGGTTGCAACTCTGAAATTTCCCCATTGCATGACAAATAAAGGTCCTCTTATCTTACACTATCTTTAACTTCATTGGCAATTGCAACAACAAAATATGAAACTCATTATCCCAGTTTTCCAATTGAGAATTCCTGATATCATTACTTAACCATAATGACTACAATGTTTTTAGAGATTAGTAGTATTAGTATTACTAGTACTAGTGGAATGAATGAATGAATTATGCATTAAATTGTGTTGGTTTTAATTTATATTTTGTCTCTTGTATATACAGTAAATCGGAAGTGTTTTTTTTTTTTTTTTTAATAATCTGACTTAAAACTTCATGATCTGGTAAACTTTAAAACAGCTCAAATTATGTGCAGGGCATCTGTCAACTCTCTTCCAGCTATTTTAAACTATTTATTTTCAGATTGAAATGCTCGTCATAACTACAGACTAAGAGGTAATAATAAATTTTATCTGCTGAAATTTAGAACAGCTTAAAGTCAATGTGTACCTCAGTATGTGGAGTTCATCTTTGGAACGGATGATCAGAAGAACTAAAAGTGTGTAGAGCCTGGTACAGTTTAAAAAAAAAAAAACTATTTAAAAGAGAAACAAAATAAAAAATACCTGGATGAGAGACAGTGATGCCCTGAGCACAGAGCTGAGCTCAGGTCTGAGGTGTGAATGTTTGTTTTGTCTTGTCTTTTCATGTATGATATATTAAGTTGAAGTGTTGGTCAGTCAAATGTGGGATTGGATTGGAAATGTAAAATCCTTGCTTCATCCATCCCCTTTCAAACCTGCATGTTTGTATCTGCATTTGTATTGTTATGTTGTGAACTGTATGTGCAGGTTGGAAATAAAATAACTAACTAAGTGAAATTGTAAACACAAACTTGCTGTTTCTGCTGCTTTTCTTTTTTGGAATTCTGTCTTTGTTTAAAAGTGTTAGACATTACAAGTACTTCTGACTTCAGCCTAAACCCTTTCGGTCATGATCCATGTGGTTTTAGTCTATGTTTTGTTTTGTTTTGTTTTATAGTGCTGTAAAATGACCGAATAAAGCTACTAAATGTAAAAATGTAAATGCAGTACTTCTTACATTACTTCACATTCAATATGACAATTTACTTTTTACTTTTAAAATAATAACTTTTACTACATTTGCTACAAAATTTCAGTATGAATATTGAAACTGAATGACTGCATCCATAACCCCAGTGTGTTTTAATTAACCGTTGCCTTTATCTGCTATTGCTTTCCTTCACCGAGAGACAAGCCTCTCCTGTTTTATCTACAAAGGCCATACAGTGAACATGTGAATCTTCTGAGAATATAAAAATAACTGCTTTTTGCCAATCCCCATGTTCTGGAATACAAAGTGAAGCTCTAATATAGTTTTACATATACATTCTTAGGCTCATGCACCACTTGAAGAAGCAGTCATGCTCTCTATATAAACATACATGACGGAGGTCCTTTTAATAGTGGGCTAAAGTGCAGTTTGTGCCATTCTTTTCTCGCTGACTTGCTTACTTGGTAGAGGCCTGTCTCTCAGTATGGGAACTCAAACTGAAAGCAAATTGGATAAAATGGTAGTAGTAGTAGTAGTAGTAGTAGTATTTGTCGTAATCATGTAAAGTGGGATGAAAGGGGAAACTTGGAGCACCATATTTTCTAATCTTAAGATCTTTTGGGCTTCTTAAAATAGACTTTAAAATCCAAACTTGGTGTAGACTCAGCTAATTAAAGGTGTACTTTGTAACTTTTCAGCTTTTCTATATCCATGGAGACCAAACGGTGGCGTCACCAAGTCAGATTTGTGGATTGGCGAGCCCATTTACAGTACAAATCCATGTTTTGAAGGTATTTTTGAGCTAGAAAAACGTGCAACTGCTATGTTAGTGCCGTAAAGCAATAACATCTCCATGGAGACAAGCAGGTAACGGACTCTCCACCAGAAAAGTTACATGGTGCGCCTTTAAAATTACATTCAATTACACATTTTCCAGCATTTTAACTTAGACAACTGTTATTGTTTACTTCAAACAGCCCTAAAATCGTTATAATTTGTGTGTATTTTCAGTCAAATACTACAACGTGTAAGCAGATTTTTCAAGTTTCCCAAGTGATTGTGTTGCCTTAAAATAACAACCGAAATGAATACTGTGAAGATGCTATTGAGAGTAAAATAAATCTTTGGAAATCGTGTCACTCAGGTAGCACCTTAGTCATAGAGAAATAGTTATTGCTACAACAAATTGATAAAGAATAAACTGCAGTCCCACAATTTAAAGGTCCTATATTATGCAAAATGGACTCTTGTGAGCTTGAAGTCATGTTATTATGCTGTTATTTCCTTAAAACACACTTGGAGTTGTGTTTTTGATGAGGAAACGACATTATAACAGATCAGAAAACAGCATAACATGGGTCCTTTAACTATCAACCTACTGAACCTACTCTGTCCATGACTATCAAAAAGAAATATTTGAAAAAGTACAAAACACAACGTAAAAATTTCATAACAAGTTGAGCATTCGTGGTTTGTCTAGCTTTCGTCTGGTATCATGCATTTGTACTTTATTGTCACACACATGCAGATAGAAGCTGCAGTGTTCTATTTGTGAATTCGAGGTTACTTTATATTAATACTAATTTGAAATGCCCAGAAAAACGAAGAAAAGAAATGCTATACTATTGTGTGCGCTTCGTAGGCCAGTGTGAATTAAAAGTTGTGGTAAAATTGTGTACGTAAACACTGTTATGGAACACTAGGGGGCGACATCTCCGGCCCCCTACAAAACTATGTCCACACTAATGTAATTTTATGATTAAAAACAGATGAGATGTATGGACTTTGAGTCATGTTTTTTGAGGTAAGACAATTGAAATGAGACACTGATAAAAGTTAAAAGTATGTCTTCACTTTTAGAAGACGTTTGTGTTATAAAATTGTCACAAAAGTGGGTCTGCTACTCTTCAGTTGGATAAAAAGTTAACTGAAAATGCTCCACCACCATCCAATTGGAGCAACAAAACAATGGAATTTTCTATTTTATCAACTAGTTTTTGTTACAATTCACTATAAATGATACATAGAGATCCTTGTGCTTTTGAAAGAATGTTATCCCTACTGCCAAGCGAAATCAACAGCGTCAGAAAAGAAAAAAACAAAACAAAAACTGTAATGAAAGTTGCAACAGAGTGCACAGCACCCCTTGCTGGTCTAACAAGTTCACTACACCTGCTACAGTTGCGTTCTTAAAACTTCCAAGCATGATTATTTTAGACAAAAGTGTGGACATAGTTTCAAACCTCAAAATAAACAGGCAGTGCTGAAACAGTAACAGAATTAAACATAAAAAACTGGAGTGAAAAACAAAAAACAGTCTCTCTTTTTTGAGTTTTTTTTTCATTGTCTCCATGATGTCGCAGTTGCAGGAGGGATGAGGACTGTCTGTGGTGTCCCTGTAGCGCCCCCTTTGGGCTGTAGGCTGTAGGAGTCACAGTGTAGCGTCAGTATCTGAGAAAGTGAAACTAAAATCCAGCTTGGACCTAGGATTTGGTGAGGACCGGTCGGGAATTGGTAGGACTTTGACACATGTGGTTGAAGACAGTTCAAGTTTGTGTATTTTCGGAAAAGGAGCGTGAATGCCCCGTCTCATTTCACCTGTTGATAAATCCTGTCTTCAGTGTGGTTCTCCATGCAGATTACACCTTGTTTTTTCCCGTTTTTTTCCTGTGTATCTAGATGAAGGCCTCTGGTTTCTCCCCGTTCATCTTGACGTAGATTTTGGGGTCAGAATCGCGTTCATCCCTGAGACGCTGCAGTTTGCGGCTGTGACAGAGCAGGTACATGGGCAGACAGAAGCCCAGCATGCTCACAGCCAGCAAGCCCACGTTCACCTAAACAAGAGGATATATGGGTTTAGAAGCAGAACTGAGAGATTGGAGTTTTGGAATAGAGACTTGTAAATTGGACAGGACAGGGTGTAGTGCAGAATGTACACAAAAAAGTACCTATTCTAACGTCATAAATCGACTCCTGTGAGCTTTAAGCCAAGTTAGAATGTTGTTACCTCAGCAAAAACATACCTAGGGTTGCGTTTTGTTTCATTCACACATGCCTAAAATGCTCTGTTCCACCTTGTGATGTCAAGGAGCTGTAGTTTTCAAGTTAGCAGCTACATTTTACATGTTGTTCAGTGAAATTCCAGGGATGAAATTATCCAAATGATCCAAGTGAAGATGTATAGAGTTTAAAAATGCAGGCGAGCACTTCATGTATTCCCACATGACATCACAAGGTGGAATAGAGTGTTTTCCGTTTGAAAACAACAACTAAATATGCAGGATTTGTGAGTTAAACATGTGTGAATGAAACAAAACACAACTCCAGGTCTGTTTTTGATGAGGAAACTACATTATAGCCTAGATCAGAAAATAGTGTCATATGGACCCTTTAAAAAAATATATATATATACTGAGTTTTGAGATTGAAGATCCAACTTAATTAGGCATTTTTTATTTAACAAAATTAATTTTATATAGCTGATGAATTTATTTCCAATACTACAAATAATTATTATAAAAACACATTCATAATAATATGCATGTTTTCTCACCCAGAGGGGGTCTCCGTTCAGGGGTCCGACCATGGCCAAGAACAGAGGCTGCTGGAGGAGTGCAAACAGAGCGCTGATCAGAGACTGCATCCCAGTCAGACTGCCGAACTGAGAGGACGGGTACCTGCCAGGGACAAACAACAGTGATCACATTTCATCATATTCAAACTATTTATGAGCAATTAATTCATCTGTACTTAAAGGTGCACTATGTCACGTTTCAGTTTGGGGTCTGTCACCTTCTTGTTTCTATGGATATGATATTATTGTCCTTGGAATGTTCCACAGGAGAACATTAAACAGCTCTACTTTACATTTATTAAATTACAGGTGGTTTTACTGCTCAAAAATACCTAGAAAATGGGCATTGCGACTGTGAGCAGAGCTGCTTCTCCACAGATCTGACCTGTAACTTGGTTTGGTCTTCATGAAGATAGAAAGGCTTAATGCCATACTGCAAAACATGCCAAACAATGCGATAACATCTCCCTGGAGAAAAGCATTTGACGGACCCTCCACCAGAAAAGTGACACAATGCACCTTAAAATTATACTGCATGGATACAGTCATTTTATGCAGTATTGTGGAGTATTCAAGTCAAAACAATAATATCTCCATGGAAACAAGTTAGTGTATCCTCCGCCAGAAAAGTTACATAGTGCTCCATAAAGCAATAAGTGCATAGCAACCAGTATGTGAAATATACTTAATGATATATTTTTAAACTTACACAGCAGCATAAAGTCCTCCAACAGCAGAGTGGATGAAGCCTCTGACAATAGTGTGCAAAATAAATGACAGAATCTAGAAAAAGAAAAGAATGTATATTAGTTTAATAGTCTTGTAAATAAAAATCCCCCAGACTAAAATAACTGGCGTGCAATCTCACATGCGCCCAGTAGGTGTCAGCATAAGACCAGAGCGCGTACTGAATCACCTGCAGTGCCATGTGCATACTGTCCCTATAACACTCACTCCAGCTAAAGTTATCTTTGACACATGACTGAAAGTGTAGACCTTATGAAAGTACATCTGATATATTTGATCTGAGTTTCCACATGTACAAGAAAGTTAAGGTTGGCTGATATTCAAAATGCCGCTGCTGTATGACGTAGGTAGTGAGTTCCATTTATTTGGTTCTGAAAATACTGCAGCTTTTTGACGCAATACGTTTACTTCAATAATAATAATTACTTTGAATCAGCAGTACTAAAATGTTGGTTACTCTCCCCACTGCAGGTAATTTTAAATTGAGAAATGCTTGTTGACGATATTAAACGGTTCAAACATTTGCACGTCTTATGATTTGTTTTTGTCATTTTTGTGTTTATTTTTTGGGAATTCCAGACTCTGAACATTATTTAAAAGTCCTACATTACACAAAATTGACTCTTGTGAGCTTTAAGTCAGCAAAAACAGACCTGGAGTTGTGTTTTGTTTTGTTTCATTCACAAGTTTGAGTAATCCTGTATTATTATTAGTCTGTCTACATCTCCAAAGATCAAAATGCTCTGTTCCACCTTAGGAGTTACCTTTTACTTAGTTCAGTAGACGTCAAGCAATCCCAGGGCTAAAATTATCCAAATGATTCTAGTGAAGGCGTATGGAAAAACACAGTGGAGCACTTCCTGTAATACCACGACCTCATAAGGTGGAACAGAGTGTTTTCTGTTCAAGAGAAGACCTCAGCCTGAATGAAACAAAACATGACTCCACTCCCCCCTCTGTGTATATATAAATACTTGTTGTATCTAAGCGGTTTACCTGTAGGGGCAGGTTGGGCACGAGGCATGTGACCCCAAAGCCGACCAGCAGCAGGTTCGTGAAGATGAAGGCTCTCGTGGCGTTTATAATCTTCTGGATCTTTTTGTCCGGGCGACGGGGCTCTCCAGGCTCCCTATTAGCACAATGTAAATAATAAGTATTTAGAATAGACTGTATATATAAATGTACTCCTTCGACTCTGTTTCAAATTGACTTTACATTAAGAAATTGGCACCCCTCACTCTGTATCCTGTGATTTTATTTCACGATTTTGTCCATAAATAAATTCCTATTCCGAATATTGACCTTGCTCCAAATTCGCTCCTATAGCCGCTACCATTTACAATCTTAATTTGACTGAACGCTATAGGTGACGTCACACTTTTTCCTAGTTTAGCATTAAAGTTTGACTTCCTTGTGAATTCTATAACTGTTACCAGCAACCATGTGGCACCCTGCCCCAACATTTCTGTAACGTACACAGAAGTTCCTCTCTAATTCCAGTAATTTTCAACATATTTTCAACATTAGAGAATCATCAAAACCTGTCACACGCACTTTAAAAGACATGTTGGTGGAGTAGGTGTAGAGGAACTGAAATCTGGGCAAGGCATCTTTTAGTTCTTAGTTTATTTCCTCAACCTTCTAAAAACAGCTGTCAGAAACACATTTTTGTTGACTTAGGTGTGAAGGTGGCTGACAATCCAATCCTTTTCCAGTCAAATTCAGGTATAGCATATTTAAGATGCACTGTGTAACTTTGCTGGGTGAGGCCCTGCCACTTGCTCGCCTTTATCGAATGCTATTTATTGCCTGGAATGCTCCACAGTATGGCATTAAGCTTATCTATCTCCATGGAGACAAACACGTGATGCCAGCAAGTCAAGTTATGAGTCAAATCTGATAAGGTTTTTCAAGTTTTTACAGTGTTTTGGAGAATAAAATCACCTGTAATTGAATAAATGCAAGATGGATACATTTAATGCCATACTCTGGAACATTCCAAAGCAAAACTATTATTTCTGTGTAGTACTGTGCTTGTGTATTACTTTTAAAAACTGGTCATAACAGGAAATGAAATCTGAGCAGGGTATTTTTTGTTTCTATTCATGTGTTTCTGTCTGTGTAATGAAAAATTAGCACCGTTGCCATAGCGATTAACAAGCTCAGAACTCAAAACGTCGTCTATGAACACCATGAACAGGTCAAATGTGAAACGAGATGAGACTGACCTTTTGGTGAGTTTGTCGTTCTCGTCCTCACAGTCTTTGAGTCTCCAGTCCATGACGTAACCGATGACGGGAGACGTGACCAGACACAGGAGCTGCAGGACGCCAAAGATGGACGTGTACACGCTCACTGGGAAACAGATGAGACAGAGCAGTTTAGGTTTTAGTTTAGCATTTAAATAAAAATACAAAATGAGCATGAAGATGTGATGGGATGTGTACATTTAGAGATTTCATAGGCCATAAGCTCCAATTGACTGCACTGAAAAACTGTTAACCCTCTCTCTGTAACTACTGCAGCGAGCATTGTCACTTTGGTTTGTTTTATTTTGCTATTTTGTCTGTAAATAAATACCTAATATGTTTACCTCGACTCCAAATTCACCCCATAACTGCCAGCCTCTTGAGCTTCATTTGACTGGAGCTGAACATTGTGGATGACTTCACACTCCCTTAGTCCACTTCTTTATACAGTTTATGTTGGGTACACATTGACTCATTTGTATTACGAGAATTTGTTGAGACGCACCCACTAAAACTAATATTGTCAAATGAAATTCTGCCTTTGAGTCCTTGGGCAAGACACTGCTTACACTGGTGTTTGAGTAAGTGTGTGATAATCACATAGAGTGCTACCTGCTTGTCTCCACAGAGGTGATATTTATAGTATGGCATTAAAAACTTAAACTTGTCTATGTCAAGGGATGCATGAACTAGAACAGACAAACCGTTTCACATTCACAATAGACATTTATGTGACAGACAAAGATGGCATGGAGCTGCAGGAAGTTGAAGAAACACAAAATGTTTGAGTCATTTGAAAGTTTGTCCTAAAATCTCTTACCAACTTCCATCTTCTCGACTGAAACGGGAAGCCAGCGTGACAGGAAGCAGAGCAGAGGAAGGAGCAGAACATGGACCAGGTTAGAAACAAGAACATAAGCGGTTTAAGCCAGACAGGCAAAGGAGACTCAGACTTGATTAGTTAGCACATATCAGCACAAAGCAAAAAGTGTAGGAATTATAAGAACAGCGTACTATTGTGAAGTTTTGAATGTGAGATTGTCCTATTGATCGAGCTGCAACTACCACAACAACTTCATTAGTACCGCACTGTAATAACATCTCTTGTATAAAAGTATTTTTGTGAAGTGGAAATTACTATTTTGCTCCTTCAATTAATGCAACTAAAAGTGACATTTACAGCTACTAATGTACTTTTGAGTTCTTTAACTAATACCTCTGCTATATCAATGTAACAATATCTACTACTAATTTGTATGGGGAAAAAATGTCTTAATCTCTATTTGTACTTTCAACAAAATATATTTAAAATGCACATTATACCATACCGTGACAGCATTAAAAAAATATGCTGATACTATGAGAATATTTCCTCTATCTGACTTAAAGATGGGTTAATGGTGTACTTGTTGTAAAAAATAACAGTATGCCTAATAGTAGTAGTAGCAGCAGTAGTAATAGTTGTAGGTAACAATATCCAAATCTCACAGTACAATATTTACTGAAATATTTGGGAGAAGCTGACACAGTTGTGAATATGAGCTTTTTCTCTTTTTGAACTCTTTGAAAAGACTTCAGCGTGAATTATTACTGTTATAATCCAAAGATTTAAAATTGCTATTTTAAAAACAGCTATTTTATCATGCTGTCTACATTGAAATGAAGCAAAGGATCATGGTCTATGTAGTTCCCTCTTTCATAAATACCTTTCAGCTAATGACTTTATAATTTAATATACTGTGACAGGCCATGATATTATTGTGAGAGTTTTGGCACTACAATAAGACGGTATTTCGGTTATTGTTACATCCCTAGTAATAGTAATAGCAGTAGTAGTAGTAGTAGTAGTAGTAGTAGCAGCAGTAGTATTAGTAGTAGCATTAATAGTACCTGTGCTGAGGTCTCCTTCGGTGAGGTACTCCAGGATGGTGTTCATGGCTCCCATGTAAAAGATGAGGCGGAGCTGTGTCACACACATGGTGATGAGGGAGAGCAGGAAGATGGGGCTCAGGATACTGCGGATAAACGACTGACCTGTGGGAACAAAAGAAATGGATTGTTATGTTATGGGTAACGTTGTGTCCCCCCTTGACTTTCTACTGAAACACAAACATTTAAGTAAAAGTCATTCTTGGTGAGTAAGTATATAGTAGTGGATTATTACACAATACTATGTAATGCAGAAGTCAATATTAGCAATTCCAGAGCTAGAAGAGAGAAGTGTTTGAGCAAAGAATTCAGCCTAAATATACAGGATCTGTGTGTTAAACATGTGTGAATAAAACGAAACACAACTCCCGGTCTGTTTGTGATGAGGAAACAACATTATAACATAGATCAGAAAATAGTGTAATATAACATAGGCCCTTTAAAATAAGGTATGCTTCTGCTGCCAGTCTAGAAATCTATTTAAAACACTGGGCTGAGCTGAACCAAACGTAACTTCAGATAACTTTAGCCTTTAGACAACATGTGTAGCAGAGAATGAAAATACTATATCACCAAAACAAAAAATGTGCATTCCTGAAGTTACAATATAAAAATGTGACTTTGGAGGAGCTGCCATTTGTAAAAGCACCAAAATTCTGTACATTTCAGTCACTGCTCCCATTCAACCTGCACAGTCCTACTATATCAACTTATCATTCAACTGCAATTTATTACAATATTGTAGATTTATAGTAAATTTTGGAGGATCATTTTGATTCATGGTTTGGTTTCAATCAGTGGTGGAAGGTAACGAAGTACGAAAGTAATAGTACAATACTTAAGTACAAATTTTACGTATCTGTACTTTACTTAAATCAGTTTTACAGTGGATAATTTTACTTCACTTCACTACATTTGAGTCTGTACTTCTTACTCCACTTTATTTTAGATCTGGGCTGAAAAATCAAAAGTATTTTTCTTTACAGTGTGAGACCTTCATGCTTTTAGTATATTTAATTTGAGACGCAAAAGTAGCTAGAAAATCCGCTAAATTCTTTTTTAAAATCACTACATTTCATCCTTTAATTATTCTAAAAATCTCTGCAAAATACCTTTAATTTTTACTCTTAACATACCTGTTAAAAATGTGTTTACTTACACTTTCACTTATTTAGTTTATTAGTTTTCATGTGATACTTTTACTGGAGAAACTTTTCACCTTTTTTATATCTGTACTTTTACTTAAGTAACAAAACTGAGTATTTCATCCACCTCTTGTTTCAATATTATCATGCATCGTCTATATTTAGTTCTGGAATGTACACAGTGGCACTTCAAAATTCATTATGGTGACAGGCCTTCTTAGGCGCCCAAATATTTCTAATCTGTTACATAATCTGTACATACACATCAGATGGCACTTTATTGTAAAATGTTTCACTATGCCGTAAGTTCTTACACTGTATTGCTTCATATTTTGTACAGTACGATGATGCCATGAGCCTATGCATTTCCATATCTGACACAGGGTTGTTGTATTTGCCATTACTCACAGTTACGTAACAGTTTAGCTTGACAGTGTGTACCTTTATACTCATTTATTTTTGCACTTTTTCACACTTGCACACATATTTACATGTGGTTAATCTGTCTTTACGCATTGGTAAATATTAGGTTATTTTCTGATCTACAGTATGTTATAATGTTATTTCCTGATCACAAAGTTTCATTCACACAAATTTCTAGTGGAGCATATGAAGTCTTATATTGTCCAAGAAGACATGATAGTTTAAAGCTCACAAGAGTCCGTTTTGTGTAATACACTGTTTGCAAAGGTAAATCAGAGAGTAAAGTAAACTGTAGTACGTAAAAAGCAAATGAGCAGAAATGCTTAAGGCTGCACTATGACTTTCTAGGAAATGTTAACGCGTTGCCTGAAATGTCCCCATGTACGGCATTAAATTCCATGGAGAGTATGCAGATGACACCTGTAATTGAATATAAATACTAGATAAATTGATGCCATATTGTAAAACCAGGCAAAGCAATAACATCACCATGGAGACAAACAGGTGCCAGACTCTCCATTTGAAAAGTGAATATGGCTGGGTTTCAGATATTTCTCAACATTTTATGGGTGTACTCTACATTATATTAAATAAAATTCTAAAATCTACATTTGTAAATTTTCTTTTTGGGAAATTTGTTCTGAAAATTTGATACCAATAGGAAAAACAGCCTCTCTCTCCTCACATTTTGGTAGGCAGTAATCTAGAAAAAGACATTAACAGCATATATGAACAAGACATTTCAACGCAATATATTTTGCATATTAAACTCAACACTACTAACAATAAAGCTTGCATTCCAAAATAGAAAAATATATAAGCTGCAACATACGCAACATTTTAGTTCATTTTTTTCTCTGTTGCCTTTTGCTTGTCTCAAAGTGCCTTCAAAATGGAAACTCCTTGTATTATCTGACTCAGGCTCAGTGACTTGAACTATCTAAATATTCACAGTGGCTTTGGTTACTAAGGAAACTCCTGTTAACTTGTGGACAAAACCTAAACAAGTGGAAGGAGCTGCTGGGAAAGGTTGATCATTAATAGGTCTCTTTTAAAAAAGGAAAGTGAACACAGATGGTGCAGTTTGGTTGTTATGATTTAGGCTCAGTGCACAAGTGGAGACTAATGCTCTCAAGGTGTAATTTTTGTTTGGGGTCAGTCACCTGCTTGTTTCTATGGATGCGACACTGCTCTGCCTGGAATGTTCCGCAGTATGGCATTAAACAGCACTACCTTACATTTATTCAATTACAGGCAGAGGTGAAAAATACCTAGAAAAACAGGCATTCTGATTGTGAGCGGGGTCGCCTCTCCACAGATCTGACCTAACAGTGATGCAACTAGCATGCAAATGCAGATTTCCTGATTCTCAGACAATAAAATGCTTCGTAATTGGATGCTGATAGCTCAGAGCCGACTTATTTTGACCTCAAGACTTGTTTATATCAAACTCAAAGAGCTTTACATCAAGGAACAACTCGTCCATTAACACATGCTTTCATAGGAGGAGCGAGGACCATTAAGTGTCTTGCCCAAAGACACAACAACAATGATTATGTCGAGAGCAAGTTTCAAACTGGCATACTTTGGATCAGGGGACCAACACTAGCTTGCTTCATCAGCCGGTTTCACTTTGTGGAGACCATCTAATCTTGCAGCATTAGGATTCTTTCACTCGACAGTAGGTGGGTACTTTTTTTATTTAACCAATCCCTGCTGTTTGGTCATGACGTATGTAAAGCGCCAAATCCCGTAGGAAGAAGGGCAATAACGTGTTTCCCCTTGATAAAATTCACCAAACATTCTCTTTGTTCCAGCTTTAAATCCTCAATCTCAGGAATCGCTGCCAATACAGAATGTCTTCGTCTACATCCATCTCGACGCTTTGTTTACTGTTGTGCTGTACCACAAAAGGGACCCAGACAGGCGCTTGAGTTTGAAGTCATGGCTTCACAGCTCTTCGCTGTTTGGCCCGGTCTACAACTTCCAGGGTTCTTGCAAACCTTCTAGTATATTCCGATTCCTGACCTAGTCGCTGGAGAGAAATGAAATTGAGCAGAGGCACTAGGTGGCACCAGCCTGACTACAAACACTCTACCAACCCAGCTCTTATCAACCATATATTAAGAAAAGTACTATTCTAATTAATCAGTGCGTTTCCGTCCTTATTCTGACACAACAGATTTTGTCTGTATCTCAAAAAATTCCTCAAAAGTCAAGCGCCTAAATACACCAAAAACCGTCAACGAAATGTCAAGAATGGCACCAACTCAGCCTAAAATACATGAATGGACAGGAGCATTACATGCAACAGCTAAATACTTAACCTACTACACTGCCCCCTGCTGTTTGCCCTTCTCCCGCTGAGAGGCTTTTCTAAGAAAGAGTCCGGACCTGGTGCACGGTTCATTAGTACCGAAAAGAGCGTGAGGGGGGAGAGCAGGCCCCCACTGTAAGTCACTGAGTTATAATAGGACCAGAGAGGAGCAGTGGCATTGTGGTCACTCGGGTTAATGGGGCAAAGTGGAGTAATATGGGACAAAGGTAACTAGGTTTTTTGGGTTTAAACTTACTTGTACAGTATTTGACCAATTTTAGATGGGACAATGTTGACAAAATTCTATTATCTAAATCTTTTAGTGATACCCCTATTTCAGAAACTGGAAGCTGTAATTGCAATCCAGCTGAAATGTGCTTTTATATCTTAACGTGTGTTTAGTTGAGCTTCAACTATCTGTAAATCTATGTGGGAAAAGTTTGATTTGGTTAAAAATAAAAAAGGTTGTAATACGGTGACTCAAGTCTCGTAAACAGAGAATATTTAAGTGTATTATTGAACTACTGTCTTGTAAACAATCTTTCAGGCTTGTGTTTTATAGTCTGTAAGAAGCTCAACAGTGATCGCTTGCTTAATAATTAAAGTACATTTTCCATTAGCAAGCTTTAAAACTTTTAATATAATTTTTCTCCTCTTAATGTCTATAAGAAAATGGAAAAGATCTTTAAGTTCTGTAACTGGGGGTGGCTGCTCACTGCTGTCCAGAAAACAAAACGAATTGTTGCAGCTCAACAGAACATACAGAGAGAACCCAGACTGCACTATGTTGCACTCAGCAGATGTGTCAGCAGTGAAATTCCACATGATTCATACTGTAGTCCCTCATAGACACATATATGACTCACTCTCTTCAGGCTTGTTGGTCTTGACTTCCAGGTCCACTGTGGACAGACAGAGCTTGTTGGCCTCCTGAGTGGCCAGTTCATTGGCGGCAGGAGGCTGCAGAGTGTTCCCCACACTGAGGCGGCGCCCCACGGTGGTCACCTGACGATAGAACTGCTTCCCTGTGATTTTGTGATCGAAGCCCAGCCAGCTGAACTTAATCTTCACCCTGAAAAATACAGTTAGGGTTATATTACAGGTAAGGGACAGTATAGAAAAATGGTGTCAGGATTATCAAAACATACAGTAGCCAAAATAATTATGATTAACTGTGACTATGTAACTGTGTAAAATAGCTAAGAGTTTTAAAGTATAATGGATATTAGGGATGTTCAAAAATATCGAAATATCAATATATCGTATTGTTTTATGTGATGATACCGTATTGATATCGTGAGCTGCTATATCGATATATCGCTCAATTTTACTCAGTTATTATGTTACAGCGCTACAGTTTTGTTGCTTGTTTAGTTGAAGGAAACTCGTTTATGCGTCACATTTGGCATTTTTACTGTTTTGATGATTAAAATGTTTGTGTTTCATATAAACTGCACAAGAAGTGGTTTAACAAAGACTTTTAGTATCACAGCCATGATTTAGTCTTTTTTTTTTTTTTACAGAACCATATCAAATCGTTTTGAAATATATCGTTTTGAATAGAAAGTGCACTGTATCGGGATACGTATTATATCGTGGCCTATGTATTGAAGTATGTATCGTATCGGCAGCTTCTTAATGATACCCAGCCCTAATGGATATTAATAATTTGAATTTTAATTCAATATTACGCTAAATGTCTGTGTTATAATATTGTTACTTCATCAAAAACATAAATGGAGTTGCGTTTTATTTACAGATGTTTGAGTAATCCTTTATTATCTACCTTTCCAAAGCTCAAAATACTCTGTCTCACCTTGTGATGTCATGAAGCGATATTTTTCAAGTTAACAGCTACATTTTACCTTTAGTTCAGCAGAGATTAAAAGTTCCACAGTTGAAATCATCCAAATGATTCTCGTGAAAGTGTGTGGAATTTAAAAACACAGTAAAGCACTTCCTGTATTACCACATGACATCACAAGGTTTGAGAGAGAAACTCACCCTAAATATGCAGGGCTTGTGTGTTAAACATGTGTAAATAAAAAAAAAAACTAATCTCCAGGTCTGTTTGTGATGAGAAAACAACATTATAATATAGATCAGAAAACAGTGTAATATGGGCCCTTTAAAAATCTTCCCATGCTTTGTCTTCTTCTTTTTTTTTTTATGCCGCCACTACAACATTCATTTCCTACAGGATCAATATCTGGTATCTCTTCTCCAGTCTGTGTGATTTCCTGTGGATTTATTATACCTGTCTCTCCAAAAAAATACAACACTTCAGCTACGGATATTATAACATTTTAAGACAAAACTGCAAAATTTTGACAGGGAAGACTTTTTGGAAACTTGTGAGCCATGCGAATAAGAGAGAAGCCACTTGATCTGCAGAGTTAATGCTATTTCCTGTTTAAAAGCTCTGGGTTTACGGTGCATTTCAAGGGGATTTGAGACTATAACCATTCACCTTTCTAACCTAACAGTGTCTATGTGATCTCTGTGCGCTTAAAGGCAGATTTTTTCAGCTCTGTGTGAATCCGCTTTAGAGCAGGTGTAGCCTCATAGCATTATAATGGATATCTGAAACGGCGCTCGAGGCTACCAAATTGTCAGCTTGTTTCGGTTTGCGCTGTTGTTATATCTTACGTGAAATCCATGTCCTCGGGCCCGGGGAAGGGTTCCAGGGGCCAGTTGACGAAGCAGTTGAGGAAGACGAGGCATGCGCAGCCGGCCCAGACCAGCAGGATGGAGATGAAGGTGGCTCCGAGATCGTAAATGACCTGGACACAAAAACAGAAGTAATGGGAAATCAATATCACATTTTCGAGTTGGCAGAACAGAGAGAAGATGAAGAACAAAAGAGGATAGAGAGGACAGTTCATAACGTGGGACAATACCAGGGGTCTAAAGTAGCTAATCCAAAACTGTAATTTAGTAGATGTCATTGAGTTCAACACATTATCAATCTTGTAGCGTTTGCAGTCTAATTAATCAAGTTTTCTATGAAAGACTAGACATAAATACTACAAAAACTGTGTGAAAGAGTTTTATCCATGTATACTTTATACTTTTGGCAACACTAATTAAATTTGTAGTCATTAGGGATGCAACAATATGGTTTTCCCACGATTCGATACGTATCTCGATATACGGGTCACGATACTGATTCAATTTTGATACGTTTTAAGACAAAAAAAATCTCATGTAATTTTTTCTGCTTATGAGTAAAATATAATAACATTAAGATGTTAATGAAACATTACATACAATACACTACAGCACAACTACTGTAAAGTTTTATGTAAAGTGTTTTAGTTCATTTGGTTCAATGAGTTACACCTGACATGCTCACATGTCTGCGGCTCTGCCCTCTCCAGCAGAGACAGTACATAGCTCCTCCTACACTGTGCTGCTACAGTTTCTGACACACAAAGCTCTCCCATCCTCTTTCTGGACACTCAAACTATGTTATATTAGAAAAAAATGTCTCAACGGACTGTAAAACTTACAAGATAAAGTCTAAGAAAAAAATTGCATATATTCGCAAGTGCGTATACAAATGCATTTGATTAAAGCTGATGTAAAGCCAAAAGTTATTTTAAAGTATTTCATAGTTCATATCTTTGTCATACTTGGGTTTATCAACATAAAATATAAAGTAACTGAAAGATAAAATCCTCCTCTGTTAGAATATTTCCTCTTTAAGTCCCTATGGAACTGTTTTCTGCTGCATCTGAGGAGGACGCTGTGATAACTGTTCTCCTTTCAGACCAAATTTAATGACAAAACAAAGCGCATGGAGGGATATGTACGTATGGGCACATGGATTGACCAAACACGTGTATCGAATCGTGAGACCAGTATTGAGCAATTTGATATTATATCAAATATCTTTGCATCCCTAGTAGCTATATAAAAGTACTTTTTCTACAAAGTACAGTTAAATACAGTACAAACTTTCAGTACTGAGAATTACCTTGATGCCAGGGAAGGTGACAGCAGAAGAAGCGTAGGAGCCGATCATCAGAGCGATGAAGGTGGACCTCAAGTCTCCAAACATGTTAGGCAGCTGAAAGAGAACAAAATACGACATTAGATAAACTGAGATTCTATATATTTAGAGCTTACAGTTATAGTTATATATATATTGATTTATTTCAAAAGACATGCTAGGTTCTGGAGGATAAATCCATTCTTGAAATGTGCATAGAACTGATAAAACCTCTTCGTAGAGCAATTTCACCATAGCAAGCAGCATGTTTTATGTTATGCTATTCTAATTGTTTTGTATATTTTTGCATAAGGAGATATAGGTGAAGCCCTGAATGCATGACAACACAAGATGACTCAAATATGCATGAATCAATCTAATACAACGTGAAGTAAACAAAGATTTACTACAAGATATGAAAGTCCATTTTTCATATGTCTCCTTTCACAATAACCTTTCTCAGTTCTAGAAGTCACATGAGATACACCCTGATCACAAGCAGCTCTGTGTCATTCTTCTGGTTGTGCATGACTGGCTGCAGATTCTCTGTGTCACCACAATCCTTTTACTGTTTGACGTGGAACACAGAGTTGCACAATAAAGACGGAAGAAGAAGCTCTGCACAGACTGTTCCAAACCCAGAGTTCACATATAAACAAGATGCTTTTGCAGATCAACACCAGACGCAGACAGCACCGTCACTCCGGAGATCTGATACGGTCAACATGGGACGAGTTATGTGTGTTATGCATTTAGGTCATGCGTTTCAAAGCGCCCGTATGAAGATACCTGAACATACCTGGAGTTTTGTTTCATTCACACATGTTTAACACATCAACGCTGCATATTTAACCTGAGTTCTTCTCTCATACAAAAAAAAGCTCAGTTCCACCTGATGTCATGTGGTAATACAGGAAGTGCTTCAGTGTGTTTTTACTCCATACACCTTTACTAAAATCATTTGAATGATTTCAGTCTTGGAATTACCAATCTCTACAGAACAAAAGGTAAAAAGTAGATGTTTACTTAAAAACTACCACTTCATGACATCACAAGGTGGAATAGAGCTTTGGAGATATAGACAGAATACAATTCAGTAGGGGTGTAATGGTACATGTATTCGTGCCAAACCATTTCGATATGGGATGTTTGGTTCGGTGCAGGGCTGTGCACGAGTGAATTTGTGCAATTTGTGTGTGTTTACATTCCGCCACTACACGTACAGCTGCACAGAAGGCTCGACTCTTTAATATTCATGACAACTTGTCTGTGATTGGGGTGGCAGTGTTTCCATAGCGCTTTATAGTTAGGATGGCCGCCTTGACTACGTCCCTCCGAACCATGTGAATCCTCGCAAAACTATGATTGTCACACCACGGTCCTCGCTATCGCCTTTTGCTGGCACGGAATAATTATTTTCCCATTTGTATAATGTTAAAATAAATTGTTGGTTTAATAAAAACAAAAATAAACAACAAGCAAATGGTTTTACATTTTGTTCCCATACTGTACCAAAAATGAACCGAACCGTGACCTCAAAATCGAGGTACATACAGAACCATAATTTTTGTGTACTGTTGCACAACTACATTTCAAAACAGAATATTATCTTATCTAGAATCTTTTGAATTGTCCTCAAAATGGCACCATATAACAGGAAGCTGAAACTGATGAATTTCATTTAAAAATATTGAATTGTCACTAGTTACAACATACAGTAAAATGCTGAGCCTGTTGCACAAATGAGTCTATTTCCAATTAGGAGGAACACATTCACCATAAAAAGCCTTGTGCCTGACCGTACCAAGAACCCTCCTCCAGTTACTCTGTGTCTCTGCGGGGGTCAGCTTGTTAGCAGCTAGAGAACCCTTTCACCTCATGAAAACGTCACTCTTTGGTTAATTAGAACAAAGGTAAGTGTTCAAAATGACTCTGACCCAGCCAAAAGTAGTACAAATAACAAGGCTTTTCTGTAGTAGCACTGGAGTGGAAGAATACAGGTTATGACAATTTACAGCGGGGGACTGAGCGAGTACAATGGGGTCAAATGGGGGAGTGTTTTTCAATCAGAGGTACCGGGGCTTCTAAGCGTACCCAAAAACTTTGCGAGGTGCACCGGGAATTATTTAAAAGGTCAGTGAATGTAAACTAACAATTAAGCAACATCCATATGTCTCAAATAATAATCTATGTTTTCTCAAATTAAGACTTTTTTGTTATATAAAATGCTAAAAATTGGGGAAAACATTTAAATAAAACAACTAATTAAATAACTTTTTCTTCTAAGCTATCTTCAAGGACACAGGCAGGCCAAGTGACAGGTCAGATAATAAATGAAAGATAGACGTTTAATGCCATACAGTGGAACATTCCAGGCAATGTAATAACATCTCCATGACAAGCAGGTTGCGGGCGCACCAGTGAAGTTACATAGTGAGTCCTTTAATTTTATTTTGTGGACATTTTTTCAACTATTAATTGCCTTATTTCACATTTCATTTTTAGAACTTTGTATAACTTTTGTAGTGCAAATACTTTTGTCCATGGAGATGTTATTGATTTGGAACATTTCACAGTATAGTATTAAACCTTTCTATCTTCATGGAGACCAAACCAGACCAAGTTACAGATCAGATCTGTGGAGAGGCAACCCCACTCACAGCCAGAATGCCTGTTTATCTTGGTATTTTTGATCTATAAAACCATCTGTAATTGAATAAATATAAATAATAAATGGTGTTTGTGGAACATTCCTGGCAGAACAATGATATTTCCTTAGAAACAAGCAGGTTATGAACCCCCAACCACAAAATTGCACAAAAAATAAGACAATTTGAAAATGTTATCAGCACATTCTTTAAGCAATGATCAATGCAAACGGGCGAGGCCAGGGAGTATGTCTGAATACCGCAGATAAAGGGGAGCGTGAGAACCTTTGTCCCAGTACATGAGACACGGGTCAGGACGGGTCCGGCCCAGCTGGTCTCCAAGGACACGACGTGGTCAGCAGGATGCGCCAGCGCCGACCCATGAGCTACGTGCAGTCAACAAGTTCAGATATAGTACCCCTCTCACTTCCTCATGCTTTCTCTGATGTGCCAGAGTCTGCAGAAACCAATATATCAGAATACTGGCACCGAACTCTGACGGAGGTGTGGGGGTCCAAATGTGGGGTAGGGGTCACTAAAGAGAGGATGCAATATCCATTTTCAACATTAAATTGTAGTACTTTCTTTTATATTATCGCGTGGTCTTGCGTAAATGAGTTTCTACTTTCAATATTAGTTTAGATATTTGATTAGTCAGCGGTTGTGTAAAATGGGTCAGAACAAAAAATTTTTTCGTCAAGTAAAATATGAAGTGAAAAGGTCAGTCATGAGTGAGACGTCAGCCGTGGACGAAAAACAAGAACAGAACTGGTCCGGTGGGTTTCTGAAGAAAACAGAAGTGTTGTGGAGTGTGAAGAGTGAGAGACAAAGAAGGAGCAGAGATAATACAGGAACAGATGGAGTGAGAGGAAGAAAGAAGAGGGAGAGAGAGAGAGGAGGAAAGATGGAAGAAGGGATAGAGAAAATGGGTAGAGAGAGAGAGGGAGAGGAGAGAGAGATGAAGAGAGAAATGGGGAAAGAAAGAGAAAGTGTTGGGAAGAAGGAGAGAGAGGGAGAGAAAGAGAGAGAGAGGAGGAAGAGAGGGAGAGGAAAGAGAGAGATGAAGAGAGAGACAAGGAAGGAGGGAGGGAAAGAGATGAGAAAGAGAGAGAGGGAGAGAAAGAGAAAGTGTTGGGGAGAAAGGGAGAAAAGAAGGACAGAGAGAGAGGTAAAGAGAGAGGGGGAGGGAGAGGGGGAAGGAAAGAAAGAGAGGAGAAAGAGAGAGGAGGGAGAGAAAGAGAAAGTGTTGGGGAGAAAGAGAGAGAGGGAGAGAAAGAGATGTAGGAGAGTTGTGGAGAGAGAGGGAGAGGAGAGAGAGAGATGGGTAGGAAGACAGGGAGGGAGAGAAAGAGAGAGATGGAGAAAGAGAGAGAAGGAGACAAAGAGAAAGTGTTGGGGAGAAAGGGAGAAAAGAAGGAAAGAGAGAGAGAGAGAGGGGGAGTGAGAGAGGGAGGGAGAGGAGAGAGAGATGAGGAGGGAGGGAGGGAGGGAGGGAAGAGAGAGAGGGAAAGAAAGAGAAAGAGAGATGGGGAGACAGAGAAAGTGTAGGGGAGAGAGAGAGGGAGAGAAAGAAGGAAAGAGAGAGAGGGAGAGAGAGCAGGGGAGAGAAAGAGTGAGAGGGAGGGGGAGAGAGAGAGAGAAGGAAAGAGAGGGAGAACAAGAAGGAAAGAGAGAAAGAGGGAGAGAGAGAGGTGGAGAAAGATAGAGAAAGAAAGAGACAGAGAAAGAGAGAGGGGGAGGGAGAGAGGGGTGAAGAGAGAGAGAGAGGAAGGGAGGGAGAGGGAGAAAGAAAGAGACAGAGAAAGAGAGAGGGGGAGGGACAGAGGGACAGAGGGGTGAAGAGAGAGAGAGAGAGAGGAAGGGAGGGAGAGGGAGAAAGAGACAGAGAGATAAACACAAGTCAATAACACGTCAGTCAGACAAATGAGACACCAGAGGACACAAAAACAGAGACAGCTCCAGACCACAACAGACAAAGGAGGACGGAGAAAGAAAGATGAAGAACTGTTTGTACCAGTGTTTTTTTCAGAATGCAAAAAAAGCGTGTAAATATAATGAGATTTTAATGTGTGGGATCAATTTGTACATCTCATTTTCCTCACTGACAATATTAAGATGATATTACGGCAATCCTTCTGAACTGTCAGAACACTTTATTGAATTAAGGTTAAACTTTGGCACAAAAGTGAACTGTATTAATAAACAGAAATTGCAGATATCACTTTTTATACTGCAAATGTGTTCACTTTGTAATTTTTACCCTATTTTTACCTTTAAAAATATAGTTTATAATAGATGTCACTTTGTATATCTCCAAAATTTAAATTCTAATGTCAAAATTTGGCAAGAAGATAGAACTTTTTACTGATTTTAGTTGTAAAATTTGCAGTAGTAGTAGAAGTAGTAGTAGCAGAAGTAGTAGTTCTATAA